AAATTTATCGACCTTGAAACCCTCTACTTTCTTGCGCTTTTTGGTCTCGGTTTCCTTGTGATTTGCAGATAGCTTGTCTAGGAAGGCTCCAGTATTTATATTTCCAGAGACCTGAGCGGAAACCTCTTTGATGCGAGACTGAATCGCCAGGAACTCTTTAAGACGTTCTAGTTTGTGTCTCTTCTCTTCCAGACTGTCTGTATTGATGCTTCTAGGCTCGGTGATGCTCTTGGTTACGGGTTTACCTGTGATTCCCCTGATCTGTATCCTACGAGAGGGAGGAGGAGATGCGTTAGTATCGTGTACGGTGGCTCTGCGGATTGATATCTGATCCGGCTCAGGTTCTATAGGGTTTTCATGCCGATCTGGGGCCGATTTGATCTCGGGTCGAATAGTAGGAGGGGGGGGGTGTAGTGACTTCGGATTGCGCACTACTGCGGGAGGATGCAGGGTTTTGATGCGTAGAGGGTACTATCTTCAATCCTTGGGTAGTCAAGAGAGAAGAATCAGAATTGTAATGGTTACTAAGTTGTCAGGCTAGAGACCTGTGACTAGGCAAGATATCGGACGGTAGAGATCAGATTGGGCAGTCGATACAGAGACTGATGTTACGGACCATGCGACATGAGGGGCCGCAACCTACAGATGGGCCACCGAGAGCCAACCGTTCCTAGGAAAGGAACGCAGGACCGGATCACGTGACCAACGGCCAGAATCAGCCTCTGATTCGTCGTGTCAAACAATACTGCACTAAACCACGAGACGGCTAGCGCGACGCAGGAGCGAGCGTTCTTTCTACCGTCACCAACCTTACGCCACAAGTGCAAGTACCCGGTAAGACCACGTGACCTTGGGGTATACCAGTGGGTATACCAACGGGTAGATGGAAGGGTCGATTCTGGTGTACCACCAGACACACCCTCCAACATACCACTCCACGGAGGATTAGGTATATAGGGACGCTCGTCCACGCACATGTATTTAGTTCTCCGCGATCAATCAATCTAAGTTACTGTGACACACCTTTCGGATTACTCTTCTAGTTTCACACAAGTGACAAACCCACACAAGTAGGGGAGCTCTATCGGACTGACCTACTTGGCGCCCTATCTGGCACGCCCTTCGAAGTTACTCAATAAGACCCGAGCCCGTGTAAGGCTTTGCATAGCAACGGTACGGTTACGAGTCGATACTTAAGGATACCCTAGTGGTGCTGGAACAAGGCCGATTTCAGCCGCCGTTCAGCAATTCGCAATTCTACTCTATAGGAGTGAGGTACGTTTTACCAACTGTCAACCACTAACCGCGTGACCAGTTAGCGAGTGCGTAACAACTGATTCTTGAGAGGATTAAGAATCCTGAATGCTTGTGGGATCTTAAATATATTAGGGTTCGGGTGGATATCGATATGCAGGTGACTCAAAGGGGATTCGTCTATGAATCGGCCTCGAGAGTCCGGGGTATCGCATACTTCGAATCCTGTGACAAATATCTATAATAGAAATATATATTTACTAATATCTCACTAACCACTAGGCTAACCTCGCTTATAATAGTATCAATCTGATCACCAAAATCCCCTCTATCACCCTAGTTACCTAGTAGTACAAACCAGATTTAGTTAGGTCTAGTAGTTAGCCAATAAGCAGCAACCCTACTCTTGACCCTAAAACCCTAGAATACCTAATAGCTAAGGCAGAAACCCTAGGCTTAGAAAGCTGGCCAAAAAGGGTATAGACTATCCGTCGGTCCTGGTCTTGGCATACCCCATCAAAAAATCACCTACCAAAATCAGACCCCTTAGGGTTTTACCCTTCTGACTAGAAATCATCCTATTAAGCCTGATAGGAGGATAGTTTAGATAATTCTAATCAAACTTCTAAAAAGCCCGATCGAAAAACCTCAAAATCTGAGGTACTTAGGGGGGGGCTGTTGGGTTAGGCCAACACCCCCCCCCCTTGCCAAGACTTTTTAATGCGGAACACCCCCCCCCCCCTGGTGGGCCGGAATATATTTAACTGGGACCGGAAAGAGATTTAATAATGGCGCTGCGATCAAAGGATCTAAATCCTCCTCAATTATATCCGTCATGGCCCAGAAAAAGTTCCTTTTTGCTGCCTCCCAGGTATTATAAGCCCGATCACCATATTGTATTCGGCAAAAAGATCGAATCCGAAAATCCTGCCATTGATAACGTGAAATAGTAACAGCGGGAGGAATTACCTGGGGGACAGGTATAATTCGAGCATTGATACCCTTTCGTAAGCCAACAATATGTTCATATCGAGCAAGAAAGTCCTGCAAATTGTTAGCAATTACCTAGCAAAAGGGAGGTAAATCTTTCATACTGGCAGGTCTTTCCGCTTTGAATTAAGTTCAAATGCTGAGATATGAGCTTTAACACATGAATCAAAGCATCTTGCTAAATCTAAGCAATATTGTGCAAGCAGTATACGAAATTTAGGCTCAAAATCATCCAGACCATCACCTTGATGCCAGAAAGTATCAGCCCATTCTAGAATGAGGCAAAAATCCCAGGCATCTCCAGTCATGAGAGATGGAACCCAGTTCTAAATTAGTCCAAATCAACTCATTTTCGGTACCAAATCCTTACCATATCGCAAATATCAGAATCATGAAAACAGGGGTTACACCGTGAGCTGTTGATACTACCCATAAGACAATTAATTCTGAAAGGTGTGTCATCGGTAGGATCAAAGTTACTAATTGCCTGGCGTAAGCAATGTAAACACCACGCAAATTGTGGTTCTACATAGTAAGGCCATTGATCAACTGCTACCGGCATCGTAAAAAGATATTAAAGTGTATATCGCAAAGAAATAGTAACGAAATGCTTCCGATTCTTATAGCTTTCGGGCAGGATTAGATCAAAGAGCTTGTAAATAGAGAAAATATAGAACAACATGCAGTAAGTTTGCCATGAAAGAGTATAAAAATAGGTATGACAAAAACCGCAAAAATTACAAAGAAAAGATACATTATTTTATACACCCCCACAGATGCCATAAAGGGAAAGGTGTTATAATTTATGAAAGAAATGGGAATATGATGGGTCCCATGGGACCTGCCAAGACTCCCATGGGATGGGATGGGATTAATAATTAGTCCCATGGGGTCTTGGCAGATGGGATGGGATTCGATTATCAGTCCCATGGGTCCCAGATGCAAATACCCCCAGGGGGTATTTGCGACCCGGCTGCTTGTGACACCAAGGTAAGATTCGTGAATATGCAAAGAGGCTGTTAATACTAACATACTGATTTATTAAGTGCCAGAGATTAGGCGATTAATCCGGCTACTGCGACAACGGTAGTGGATCTCCTAGTTTACTTGGACTTGTTCTTGGGCAAACTACGCCGTTAGTTCTTTCTTGACCGCCTTGGATTACAGAGCTGATTTGAAGCTGACATGAGATAGACGCTGTATTTGCGTACCAGGCGATTGTGACCCTCTATCTTCCTTTTGTAACGGGCAATGTGTAAGAGGCTATAGACTGTATATTTTGAGACGACGACTAACTGGTACTCGAGAGTGCGCGTCAGGCCTGACCTGTTGTGGTGAAGCCTGCGTCGACCTTGATACCGATGCAAGTAACTGTGGAAGTTGTGGGAACACTGTGAGTCCAACCTAACCTTCACACTCTAATAAGGGTGCTATTCTATCGCTGTTCTTATTGCTAACATGATACATTATCACGCTTCGATAGTGCCTTCCGGGATCTACATCCGCTTGCTCATCAGGCAGCCTTTCCTGCTCGATATTAATGTAATTCACTACCAAGCTAGCGACACCACCGGAAACGCGTCAATTATGTTTAACCTTTCTTCTTCAACCACCACTATGCTACCAATTCACACTTAATCCTTAAAGACTTCAATAGTGAAAGATGGTAGGATCTCGTTAGTTACCTAGGCTTTTAAAGATTAAGAACTCTCTTCGATTCGTGAAGTGGCGCATCACAAGTCTTGAATTCGCTATCGAGATATAAACTCAAGTCACCAACGACCGCTACTTGGTCGGTAAGCGTTCCAATTGGATAGAAACACCATGCGCCTTCATAACACAAAACTACCCACCTCTATACCACAGCGTATTTTCAATCTAATTCCATCAGTCTAGCTGGAAGGGCACGGCAAATTCCCGTGTTGCTATTTGTTCTATAGTGTCCGTAGAACCCGAATCCTCGACTGCACCTATGTAACTGAAGAAAGGAACGATCCAAGGATTTACTATCCAGATCATGTCCTGCTTTCTTTTGCTGTATTTGTCGAGAAGGGAAATATAGGGGTCGGCACGAATAACGAATATTCGCAATTCGCATTTGTGTTTGCAGACAATTTGCACGACATGTTGAGAAGTAATGCTTCAGTGTTCACATTGTATGTTCTTGTTTGTTAGATACAAGTGGGCTGAAAGTCATATATATGTGAGTATGCACGTGCTCTCAGCCCCTGTGATCATTTTAGTGACCGGGATATTTGTTGAGTATCACGGTGGTCAAAGCTTATGGCGGAACTAGCGACGGACATTTAAATAGATGGAGCTCCCAATTCTCTTAAGTTAGTCTAGCTGGAAACGATACAACTATTTTATCTCAACAGGTTATGAGCCCGGGTGGCGTAACCTTTGGGCATACGCTGACTGAAATTCAAGCAATCCAAGAGTGATGACACGGTGGATTCGACATAGTTGATGCTTCGCCGGGTGAAGCGACAGCGGACAATCGTCACTTCATTCTGTGCAAAGTATGACTGCGAGGAGATGCTTCCCAGCGACCAGGAACGGCGCCACAGGGACTATTTACAGTACTCTTTCCATCTACTGCGGATCTTATTTCAACTACCAATATGCCTCCATTCTTCTCAACGACCCTTAAAGCAACTAGCCAACCCCAAAGACTCTCTAATCTCATGCTAATTATGTCACTAAGAGTATGAGACATTCGTGCCTATACCCAGTCCACGCTCTCTTTGGCGGTTCTAAGGGGCGCAAGGCTTCCCGAGTAAGACGCTCACTGTGTTGCCACCGACATCCGCAGCCACAATATCTAGATAGCTATCTCCATTGAAGTTGCCCACTGCAACACCAACCGAATTGGACCCCACGCCAAATGTGACCTGCGGCTGGAAGCTTCCCGATCCAGTCCCGAGCAAGACGCTCACTGTATTGCCGCCGGCGTCCGCAGCCACGATATCGAGATAGCCATCTCCATTGAAGTTGCCCACTGTAACACCAACCGGATTGGACCCCACGCCAAATGTGACCTGCGGCTGGAAGCTCCCCGATCCAGTCCCAAGCAAGACGCTCACGGTACTGCCGCCATTATTCGTAGCCACGATATCCAAAGAGCCATCTCCGTTGAAGTCGCCCACTGCAACACCGTACGGAAAGGATCCCACGCCGAATGTGACCTGCGGCTGGAAGCTCCCTGATCCAGTCCCAAGTAGGACGCTCACGGTATTGCCGCCATTATTCGTAGCCACGATATCTAAAGAGCCATCTCCGTTGAAGTCGCCCACTGCAACACGAACGGGAAAGGATCCCACGTCAAATGCGACCTGCGGCTGGAAGCTTCCAGATCCAGTCCCAAGCAAGACACTCACTGTATTGCCGCCGGCATTTGCAATCACAATATCGAGAGCGCCATCTCCGTTGAAGTCGCCCACTGCAACACCATATGGATTGGGCCCCACGCCGAACGTGGCCTGCGGCTGGAAGCTCCCCGATCCAGTCCCGAGCAAGACGCTCGCTGTATTGCCGCCGGCGTCCGCAGCCACAATATCGAGAGCGCCATCTCCATTAAAGTCGCCCACTGCAACACCAACCGGATTGGACCCCACGCCAAATGTGACCTGCGGCTGGAAGCTCCCCGATCCAGTCCCAAGCAAGACGCTCACGGTACTGCCGCCATTATTCGTAGTTACGGTATCGAGATAGCCATCTCCATTGAAATCACCCACTGCAACATCAAATGGCCTGGAACCCACGGGGAATGTAGCTTGCGCTTGGAAGCCCTGGAAACTTGTGCATATGCAGGCGCCTGATGAGCAAGTCGATCCATCAAGGCACTATAAAGGGGTGAATTGATCACGTTAGCAATATAAATATTGAAATAGTAGCAAACGTCCTAAATGTATAGTTCAGGGCCAGCTCACAGTGTTCCCGCAAGTGCCGCAGTTACTAGGAGAGTTCTGAAGGTTTGTGCAATCTCCATTGCAACAGGTCTCATCTGCTGCACACTATAACATCGCGGGTCAGTTATTGAGTTTCCAATAGCGACGGATGATAACCCACAGTGTTCCCACAAGCGCCACAGCTGCTAGGAGCGTCCTGGAGGTCGGTGCACACTCCATTGCAACAGGTCAGGCCGGATGCGCACTATCGAGCACCAATTAGTCGTCGTCTCAAAATATGCAGTCTGTGGCCGTCTTACACATTGCCCGTTACAAGAAGGAGATGGAGGGTCACAATCTGTCTGACAGGTAAGGGTGCCTGATGAGCAAGTGGATATAGATCCAGCAGGGCACTATCGTAACGTGAGAATTTATCATATTAGCAATCAGAACAGCAACAGAGCCAAGAAGGTTAGGTTAAGCTTACAGTGTTTCCACAACTTCCACAGTTACTTGCATCGGTATCAAGGTTGATACAGGATCCGTCACAACAGGCCAGGCCGGAAGCGCACTATCAAGCACCAGTTAGTTGTCGTCACAAAATGTGCAGCCTGCGGTCGTCTTACACATTGCCCGTTGCAAGAAGAAGCAGGGTCACAATTTTTTGGTACACAGATGCAGCTTCTATTTCGTTTCAGCATTCAGATGGCTCTGCAATCCTAAGACGATTAAGAATGAGACTGACGACGTAGTTTGCACAAGAATAAGTCCAAGTAAATTAGGAGATCCACTACCGTTGTCGCAGTAGCCCGATTGGTCACCTGATTTCCGACACTTAAATAAATTAGCATATTATTATCAGCAACCTCTTTGCATATACACGAATCATACCTTGGCGTCACAAGCGGCCGGGTCGCAACCACCACCACCCCCAACCCCAACCCCGATGTCTCCAATATCGCCACCCCCCGTATCAATTTTAATCCCACCACCATCCCCATTACCGATATTGTTACCCCCGTGGGAAACCTTACCTCCACCCCTAGGTCCACCCCACTTTTCCAGGGCATCTTCGCCGGAAAGTGAAGTGACAACAGCGCAGCACGAAAGGGCTAGAAGAGCGAAAAGCATTTTTGCAAAGCCGTTGGAATAAAACGATTAAAGATTTGGTGGAAGAGAACACCAGTTTGAACCCGTCGTGCTGCTCGTGGTACAGAAGAATAATTTGTCCTACCCTTTCCGCGGAGGGGGTTTTACGTAGTGTGCTCATAGCCATTCATTCATTGTCTGACTTTTGTTATTATGAATAAAATTGTTAGATATGTTCCCTGGAATGTGAAAAACTTAATTCTTTTAGAAGTCCAGGGTTTATGGTATGGATATAAATCCCGGCAAAACTTTCCGGCAACCAGAATAGAGTTATGTGGGATCTGATTGGTCGCCCGTGCGTGCTCCCGGCCTGGCTATTGTGTCTGGGGAACACCTTATCCCCATCAAATCTTGACAATTCGTGTTTTTACACCTGCATTCCCAACCCCTCATCCAATTGTTATCGAGCGTCACAGAAACGATGTGCAAATTAGGAAGAGGCAGCGAATTTTATTCTATCAAAAACATCATAATATATTCTTATTCTTTAATTAATCTCATGGCAGCCTCCGCACAGCGAGGAAGAAAATCCTAAGAACGGCGGATTGTATCAACTGTTATATTTCAGATACATGATTACTCTTACTCATCCAGTAAAAAGGGTGACGGTAACACTCCGTGTACTTTTCTCGCCCGTCTTCTCTAGGGAGTGCAGTGACAAAAGCACCCCATAAAAGGGTAAGAAAAGCGAAACCTATTCTTATAAAGATGCTTACTGAAAATATCATACAATTTAGCACGTGAAGAATAGAAGTTGGAATCTTCTATACTGCTTATCGTACTGAAAATTATTTCATAAGTGTTGTCTTAGTACCTTAGTGTAGAGAGTGTTACTTATATATTGTGCCTACAGTCATTCTTTAACTGTCTAGGTTTGGTAAGTCATTACAGTATGATTAAAATGCTTAGGCATATTCCCTGAAATGTAAAAAAAACGTGAACTTTTTTTGATTTCTGGCAGGCCAGAGGTATATGGTATGCGCCACAGTTCCGGCAACATGTTTTGGCAGTCAGAATTGATTTACGTGCGCGGCCCGTGTGTGCTCCGCGCCAAACCGTTGTGTTCAGATTTTTACACCTATAATTCTAACTCCATATTAAATTACTATCGACTGTGAGAGAGGTAGAGTGCAAATTAGCTGTCTAACATTATAGTGCTTTTCTTCCTGGCAAATATAGCGTTGAATTACTAACTGTTAGACTAACAAATTATCTATAACCTACAGCACTATTATTGGAGAAAATAGATGCTTAAGATATTTAATATACTTGATTAAAATATAGATCCTTATGGTTTGAGAGGGTATTCCCAAATATAACAGCCAGGCGAGGGGACGCATGGGGACCAACCAGATCCCACATGACTCTATTCTGATTGCCGGAATATTTTGCCGAAATCTAAGCACATACCATAAGCTCCTTGACTTCTGCATAATTGCTGTTAGTGTAAAATAAAAGTAAATAGTTCACATTCTAGGCAACATTTCTAAGCGCTTTATTTATAATAAGGAACCTGATTTAAAATTAACCGTAGAAACGTACTTGATATAATACCTAAGAAGCAAGACAGGCTGTTTCTAGTCTAACGACCAGTACGACGAGTTTAACTAATTTTTTTTTCTATCGTCATTAGCAAACGACGCCTTTACCAAAATGCGTTCTGCTCTTCTCACCATTTTCTGCTGCTCTGTTGCCACTGCGCTCACTGGAGAAGAAGCTCTAGAAAAGTGGGGTGAACCTAGAGGTGGAGGTAAGGTTTCCCATGGGGGAAATAATATTGGCAATGGAGATGGTGGTGGGATTGGCATTGACACTGGGGGTGGTGACATTGGGGACATTGGCGTTGGTGTTGGGGGTGGAGGGAGTGGTGGTGGTTGCGACCCGGCCGCTTGTGACGCCAAGGTAAGATTCGGGATACCCGAAGAGGTTGCTAATACTAACATACTGATTGGTTTTAAGTGTCGAAATTCAGGTGACCAATCAGGATACTGTGATAACGGTAGTGGATCTCCCAGTTTATTTGGACTTATCCTTGGACAAACTGCGCCGTGAGTCTCTTTCTCGATCATCCTTGGATTGCAGAGCCGCCTAAAAGCTGATATGAAATAGTGGCTGCATCTGTGTCCCAAATCTGCCTGGTTGTGATCCTCCATCTTCCTCTTGCAACGGAGAATGTGTAAGACACCCGCAGACTACATATTTTGTGACGACGACTGATTGGTGGTCGATAGTGCGCGTCTGGCCTGACCTGTTGCAATGGAGCATGCACCAACCTTCAGAACACTCCCAGTAACTGCGGTACTTGTGGAAACACCGTGCGTTATCATCCGTTGCTAATGGAAGCGAAATCACTGACCCTTAATGCTACAGTGCGCAGCAAGCGAGGACTGCTGCAGCGGCGCTTGCACCAACCTCCAGAACACTCCTGGTAGCTGTGGAGCGTGTGGGAACACTGTGCGTTATCATCCGTTGCTAATGGAAGCAAAATCACTGATCCTTAATATTATAGTGCGCAGAAGGTGAGAGTTGCTGCAATGGAGCCTGCACCAACCTCCAGAACAATCCAAATAACTGTGGAACTTGTGGAAACACTGTGCGTTATCATCCGTTGCTAATGGAAGCAAAATCACTGATCCTTAGTATTATAGTGCGCAGAAGGTGAGAGTTGCTGCAATGGAGCCTGCACCAACCTCCAGAACAATCCAAATAACTGTGGCACTTGTGGGAACACTGTGAGTTAGGCCTATCCACACTTCTAGGAGACTTGCTATTGTGCCGATGTCCTTATTGCTAACGTGATCAATTCTCACGCTTGTATAGTGCCCTGCTGGATCGACTTGCTCATCAGGCACCTGCATATGCACGACTTTCCAGGGTTTCGAGGCGCAGGCCCCATACACCGTGGGGTCCCAGCCGTATGGCGTTGCGGTCGGCGACTTCAACAGAGATGGCTATCTCGATATCGTGGCTGCGAATATCGGCGACAATACAGTGAGCGTCTTGCTCGGAACTGGATCGGGGATCTTCCAGCCGCAGGCAACATTCCCTGTGGGGGTCAATCCGTATGGCGTTGCGGTTGGCGACTTCAACCGAGATGGCTATCTCGATATCGTGGTTACGAATGGCGGCGGTAATTCAGTGAGCGTCTTGCTCGGCGATGGATTAGGGGGGCTTCCAGCCGCAGGTAACATTCCCCGCGGGGTCCTTTCCGCACGGTGTCGCAGTAGGTGACTTCAACGGAGATGATTATCTCGATATTGTGACTACGAATATCAACGGGGGTTCGGTAAGCGTCTTGCTCGGGGATGGACTGGGGAGCTTCCAGCCGCAGGTCACATTCCCGTGGGGTTCAGTCCGCAAGGTGTTGCAGTAGGCGACTTCAACGAAGATGGCTATCTCGATATCGTGGCTGCGAATAGTGGTGGCAATTCAGTGAGCTTCTTGCTCGGCGATGGATTAGGGAGCTTCCAGCCGCAGGCTACCTTCGTTGTGGGACCCGCGCCGCAAGATGTTGCAGTGGGCGACTTCAACCGAGATGGCTACCTCGATATCGTGACTACGAACATCGGCGATAGTACAGTGAGCGTCTTATTCGGTGATGGATCAGGGAGCTTCCAGCCGCAGAGCACATTCCCTGTAGGGCCCCTGCCACTTGGTGTTGCTGTGGGTGACTTCAATAGAGATGGTTATCTCGACATCGTGACTACGAGTATCAACGGGGGTACAGGTAGAGTAAGTGTATTGCTCGGGGATGGATCAGGGAGCTTCCAACCGCAGGCTACATTCCCCGTGGGGTCCTTTCCGTATGGCGTTGCGGTGGGCGACTTCAACCGAGATGGCTTTCTCGATATCGCGGCTACGAATAGCGGTAATTTAGTGAGCGTCTTGCTCGGGATACCTTGTAGCCCCTAGAGCCAAAGACACGGTATGGATAGATTGTAAGTGGTTGTCTTTGATTCGACAGGAATGATTACCGGATATAAGGCGGATAGGGACACGGCGTGGATAGAACAGGTCATAAGGAGATGTTGTCGTTGTCGCCTGCGCATGGACAAGGACACGACGTCCCTAGTGTAGCAGTGCGTCCGTGCGGCGGACCTTTGTTAGTTAGTTGGATAGGGGGGAGAGGGCGTCATAGTTGCCTTAATGTGGGTTTTCTCTATCATTAGGTTTCTCTATGCTCTTGTGCAAATGCAAAGGCTTTCTTTTCATATTTTAACTGTATCCCCCATGAATGAATGGCTTTGTAAGCCGTGCCTAATCACACACCATATTCACGTCTCGGATTGTGTATATATATGTACACAAAAATCGACAGTGTGCGATTCTGGTGGAGAGAATAATAAGACGTATAACTAGTGCGAGTGGAAGTCCTAAGCCAGACTAGTTTCGATGCCTTAAGAGCCCATGACGGTGCGGATCGGGATGTGCTGCTGGGAAGACCACAAGCGCACGCGCCCTGGATAACCTGACCATGTGAACCGACAGCCTCTGCTCCACGCGTTAGTTTTCGATCACCGTAAAATCTTACCATCCGAGAGATGTTGACATCAACCCTGCAGAGTCGCCGCCAGTGTGACTCCCGTTTCTGATCCTTTTTCTCTTTTTTCGGGGATTTTCGTCGAAGTCTACGACGGGAATGCGAAGGAGTGATTGCATTCGTCGATAATCACACCAAAGACAAAGGCCCGTCCCTTGTCAGAATTTGTGAAAAGCTGCTGGCGCTTCAGGCGTCTGCCTCTTTGCTTGTAGATACTGAAGATTCTCTGTAATTAATGCAAGCGGTTTTGGCACAGCCGAGCATAAAGAAGCGACCAGCTTTTTGACCATGGGAAGAGATTTCAGACTGTGTTGCTACCTAACAAATATGCTGCTGAGCCCTGCAATTAGCTCCAGCATGACACACAAAGGCGAAAATTTCCTCCCGACCCCTGCTTCCAAAAGGGGCTGACTTTTTACCCCGGAGATAGTATCCGTGCCTAATAATTTTTCTCCCTCTATCCGGATACGTTGCAGATTCACGGCCACTACTAACCATATTCCCTCCCTTATATTCTTAGCTTCATGAAGGACGTCCGCCCACAGAGAGGAAATGGCAACCAAGCTCCCCATTCCACGCCTACAACGCCAAAGAGGTGACAGTGGCGGGCGACGTACGAGTCGGGCTTGCGACTCTTGCAGAGAACGCAAAACCAAATGCGATGGCAACAGGCCCGTCTGCTTTCAGTGTCGTTCCATAAGCCGAACCAACTGTCTTTATTCGGAGGCACAATTCGTCCGACGGCAAAAAGAACTCGAATCGGCGCGAAGCAAGGTCGAGCGCTACGAGGAACTGCTTGTAGGATTTCCAGAGACCTCGAAGGGCCTATCGCAAATCGTGTCACAAATGCTCTTAATACAGACACAGCGGGCTCTTGCGAAATTTGACCCAGCGGGCGCTGTCGTGGAGTCAAGTGACTACTGTGACAACAACGAGTGTCTTTATTACAGGGTTTGTTTTGATCTACCCCCGTCCCCCACCTGCCCTCTTTCTTTCCAAATCGGAACTATTCGAACTTATGGAAAGTTGATAGCACCTCACTTTCAACATTAAGTGATGAGCTAAAACGTTGGGTTACGATTGATCCTCAATTCCTGAAAGGAAAGCGTTATAAAGACGACAGATATCTGTAAGGCCCCTAATTCTCTTCCGTTTCTTCATGGCTGACCTATTACTCGAAGACCCAAAAACTGGTTCAGGGAAAACCCGATTCTCGGATTCAACTTTGTGTTCTGGGTCATAGTACATGGGGTCTCCGATGGTGCCTTCAAGGGACTCAGGACGGTAGAAGAAGTTCTGGCAGTCAGACCACCGAAAGGGAGGGAGTCGTACACACTTGAATGGGATGAGAGAAAAAGGGGACTCCCTTTTTTTAGATGGTAAACCCAAATGGTCCCCTTCCCACAAGGGTCTTGACATTCTCGTCTCTGCGGCATAATTTTACGAGCTTGGCTCAGCGAGAGTGCTTAAAGATCAGCTGCGCGTGCATGGAATTCGTGCGAATGTTGCGAATTGCATCGATCGTAAGTGCTTTCTACTTCAAATCCACCACCCCTTACTGATGCCAAGCAGCCAAGGTCGGAAGCCACTCGCGGCCAGGCCCTCGACCATCAGAATCATGATACCTACATCAAATACCAATCAGTGCTAAAATCATTGGACATCCAGGCCCTTGTCTATGACTTGGAGCCAGATTATGAATGCCGAAATATGGAGCAAAGTATGGCTCACCATCGAGGCCCCAATGTCCCAATGAAACTGGATGCAGCTTCTATTGACGTATTCGAAAATACAGATGAAGTCTAAATGGTAAATGAGAGAATCCATCTCTTGACGTCTCAAATGTCGGGCCAGCCTCTAATGCATCCTAATCTCGATGCTGAGCGCACAAGTCTTTACAGCAGGAGATCCAAGCTACGCCTAGCTTGGAAAAAGAATTTCATACAAGATTGGTGGGATTCTGCCTATGACGAATACATCTCTGGAAATGAATTCACCGAGCGCGATAAAACATTCTTATTCCAACTATTCAAAAAATTTCTCCCAGAACGTGCAAGGCTTAGAGAAGCACTCTTCAAACAGGCTATGTTGGATAGAATCATCGGGCGACAATGCCTTGATGATATGGTCAAACTCTGTACATCCACGGAGCGCGTGGTGTACTATCCAGGACTCTATCCAGTGGAGAATTGCTGTCCAGTCTGCTCCAAGCCTATGTCAGAGTAAGTCTTTGCCATCAGTATCTATCCTGTCATACTAACCATCGCAGTATTGCAATGCAAAGGCGAGCGGAGCATATCCTACAGTGTCGAAGACAATCCTTGGGTGGCCCACCGTACCAACAACGCTATGGCAATGGGAAGCGTGCACACCGGCGGGAACAGCGTAATTTTGTGCAATTTTGCTATCTCTGTGCAGATATTTGCTGTGAAGAAGGAAAATGGAAGAGCCATTGTCAAACGCATCTGAATAAACTGCACTCTCGATGTGGGATCTTGACGCTCCGTTATACCCTTGTTGCCCCTGGCTTTTGCCTATTTTGCCTCCGCGATGAAGGTAAAGAACCGGATGAGAGGTTTCAACAATGTCTAGTCATGTCAACACTTCTCAATAATATTGATAATCATTTCTACGCATTGAGAGCTTCCATTACGTTCATCTGTCCACATTCATGGTGCCAAGGAAGGGATTATTATGACTTTTTGGACCTTCGTCGCCATTTCTTCGACGCACACTCCATTTAAGAGCCTCGTTGAGTCAGATCTCGAGCTTGAAACACAGGCTCCCAGGGCTAGCTGTTTCTCTGCAGATACCCAAGAAAATCCAGCATCAGAAGAAAATGAAAGTCTCATAAGCTTTGAGGAAACGAGCGTATTTGATATAGAAGAACTCATAGAGGAATTCACGCATTTCGATAATCATCACCTACATCGTGAAGAGAACGAAGGTGGCGCGTGAACAACACAAACAGATTACAGGATCAGTATCTCAATCATACAAAGAGACTTTCATATGGAGAATATTTGAGACTAAAATTAAGCGTCACCTTTTCTGCCCTTACCAATCGATAGCCCCAGTACATGAGCAAACGTAGTGCGATCTCGATGCCGAGAAGTGCATGATTTGCTGGACGGAACCGGGGATGTGAATTCAAACAGGTTCCTGTTTTGCTGCAGAGAAAACAGAGCTTATTCACCTAACCCGGAAGAAGAGCGAACAGCGTCAAGGCCATTTAATCATGAACAGCAAAACAGTCAAACCGACAACTAGCGCCAAGCTGCTGGGTGTGATCTTCGATCAGGAGCTGCAGTGGAAGGAACACATCCGAAAGGCGATCAAGAGCGCAACTCAAGTGAATATTGCACGCGGTGGGCTACCACACCTACGCCCAGAACAGATGAGACAGCTGTACGTGTTGTAATTCAGAGGTATATATTGTATTTGTTTGAGAGGGAGACATGAAGCTATATATACAACGAGAAGATCAAGTTGATTTCCAATCAACTTAGTTCTTTCGTATACATACTTCGGGATTAATTCCGATGGTTCGGCTTGGTTCCTGATCTGCACCAGCCTCATATCGCAACAGTACGAAGCATGTGTCACACCCGTCGTAGACTACGCGTCGACGGTATGGCGCGACCCACTCGGAGACAAGACTCACTTAAGGTATCTGCGCACAGTGCAACGGACTGCACTCATTCGTATCCTTTCGGCTTTCAGAACAGTAGCCACCACAACACTGGAGGTTGAAGCCCACATATTGCCAACGTATCTCCGGCTCCGCCATCGCGCACAAAGCACCATCACCCGGCTTCACACACTCCAGCAGGACCACCCAATATGGAGTACATTACAGCGCGCCCAAAAACGGTGGAATAATATCGGATCGTATTCTTGATTCCCACTGGCGCAGGCACTGAAGACAATGAAAACCTGGAAATGATTGATCCTACACTGCGACCGCTTTAGAGAGCACAGGCCTTTACGGAAATTGAAATTGAACCAGATAGAGAGATAGCAGCACAGCGAGCTGAAATCATTCGTTCTACCTCGGACATTGTTGTCTATTCGGATACGTCGGGACGCCAAGGTCATCTAGGGGCCGCAGCCGTAACGCTCAACAACAAACTGGAAGTGTCCGGATCCTTAGAGATTCAGGTCGGGTCTATAGATTGATGGTCTGTATATGCCGCTGAACTGATCGAGATCTTGCACGCCATCAATATTGTCAAAAGAGTGGCTTCTGGGCGCCCGAGTTCAACGGGTGAGCAAGTCAGGCTGGCTACTATCCTCAGTGACAGCATGTCAGCACTACAGGCAATACAAAACCCGGGGAACAAATCGGGTCAAGGAATTATCCATGTTATTCTACAGGCAGCCATAAACACCAAGACCAACGGAGTTACTATTCGTCTCCAATGGATACCAGGGCATTGCGCAGCACCCGGGAACGATTCAGCGGGCTGTTTGGCGAAACAGGCAGCCATACCGGGGCAAAACGGGTGGGTTTTGCCCGTTGCTGTCCCGAGAGAAAGCCTTCGTCCACAAAGATATCCACATCCAGTTGGAAAAGGAATGGAAAGAGTCTAGAGCAGACAGCCATCTCCGTACTAATGACAACACACTACCTGCCAAATACACCAGACGGCTCTATGGGCCTTTGACGAGGAATCGAGCCTACCTGCTCAGGCAGCTACTGACGGGACATTGCTGGCTGTCGACGTTTGGGAAAGCCTTTCGCTTCCAGGGCAATGACCGATGCATCTGCGGCGATCGCGAAATTCTGAAACATGTCCTGTGGGACTGCCCCGCTCTGAGGGTATTGCGGTGGGAGTTACAGCTTGAAAACATAAACGGCACTTAGGACACGGAAGGCCTTGGCGAGGCTCTAAGATCGTTCCAGGGAATGGCACACTTCACATGTACGTATATAGATATATATAGTTGTGGTAGCCTGCATATCGCTTCGGCAGTTGGTTTACCCAACTAGACCAGAAAACGAATCCGTTCTCAGCCTAGTGGGTGAGGTTTATAATCAATTTCGGCGAAGGGACGGGGTAAATGAAATCTACCTACCTACCTACTGCAAGCCTCCCCTGAAATTTCCTTTCTATAAAACCTGGGTCTGAAAAAACAAGGATACCTGGAGTTCAGATGTGTAAACGGCGGACCTGTGAATTTTCTTTTCGAGTTAGTTTTACCCTTTTGGGCTTCGCGCCCCAATACGCCGTCACGTTTCCTCCCTTTAGTGCTCTTCGATATGAAAAGCCCGGTCTTCGCTGCTCTTTGCTATTTCTCTACCTTTCCACCTTACACTTATCGCTACGCCCCTACAATTTCGCCCACCTAATTGGACTCGCCGACTGTCTTATTCACCCCCTATTTTCCGTCGCAAACTACGGCTAAGGCCTTATTGCCTTTACAATTGACTCTTAGGATCGGAAATATTCGGCCTCTTAGCATAGGTAGCAATTACAAGTAGGTTACAAAGCTTTTAGAAGAGCAATACGGTACGGATTATTCGTTTATAGGGTATTCACTTAGCCGTTATAGTCTACTTGTTTTTTAAATAGATTATTCTCTATCTATTCCCCCCGATCATATTCTGGTCCTTAATTGATATATATACACTGGCAAGGCGGATAGAAAGGGTAGATCGTACATTAAAACGGCGCGTCACTTCATGAATCGAAGAGAGTTCTTTATTCTTAAAAGCCTAGATAACTAAAGAGATCCTACCATCTTTCTCTATTGAAGTTTTCAAGGATTAAGTGCGAATTGGTGGCATGGTGGGTGGTTGAAGAAGAAAGGTTTAAATTAATTGACGCGTTTCCGGTGGCGTCGGCAGCTTGGTAGTGAATTACCCTATGTCGGTGCAGTCAAGGCTGCCTGATGAGCAACCGGATATAGATCCCAGAGAGCACTATCGAAGCGTGATAATGTATCATGTTAGAAATAAGAACAGCGATAGGGTAGTAATCTTATTAAAGTGTGAAGGTTAGGTGGAACTCACAGTGTTTCCACAACTTCCACAGTTACTTGGATCGGTATCAAGGTCGACGCAGGCTCCACCACAACAGGTCAGGCCGGACGCGCACTATCGAGTACCAGTTAGTCGTCGTCTCAAAATATGCAGTCTATGGCCTCTTACACATTGCCCGTTACAAGAGGAAGATGGAGGATCACAATCTGGCAGATTTGGGACACAGATACAGCCACTATTTCATATCAGCTTTTAGGCGGCTCTGCAATCCAAGGATGATCGAGAAAGAGACTAACGGCGTAGTTTGCCCAAGAACAAGTCCAAGTAAACTGGGAGACTCGCTACCGTTGTCGCAGTAGCCCGATTGATCGCCTAATCTCCGACACTTTAATGGATCAGTGTGTTAGTATTAACGGCCTCTCTGCATCTCCACGAATATTACCTTGGAGTCACAAGCGGCCGGGTCGCAACCACCCCCACCCCCTCCATCCCCAACCCCAACCCCAATGTCTCCAATATCACCACCCCCAGTATCAATGGTAATCCCACCGCCATCTCCATTGCCAATATTATTACCCCCGTGGGAAATCCCTCCACCTCGAGGTCCACCCCACTTTGCTAGAGCTTCTTTTCCAGTGAGCGCAGTGACAACAGAGCAGCACAAAAGGGTGAGAAGAGCAGAACGCATTTTTGTAAAGGCGTCGTTTGCTAACGACGATAGAAAAAAAAGGTTTACCCAGTCGTACTGGTCGTTAGACTAGAACTAGCGTGTCTTGCTTCGTATGTATTATATTCAGCGCGTTTCTACGGTTATTTATTAATAATGTTCCTTATTATAAATAAAGCGCTTAGAAATGTTGCCTAGAATGTGAACTATTTACTGCTATTTTACACGAACAGCAATCATGCAGAGTTCAAGGGGCTTGTGGTATGTGCTTAGATTCCGGCAAAATATTCCGGCAATCAGAATAGAGTCATGTGGGATCTGGTTGGTCCCCGTGCGTCCCCTCGCCTGGCTGTTACATTCGGGAACACCCTCTCAAACCAAAACGATGTATATTTTAATCAAGTATATTAAATATCTTAAGCGTCTATTTTCTCTAATAATAGTGCTTTAGGTTATGGATAATTTGTTAGTCTAACAGTTAGTAATTTAACAGTATATTTGCCAGGAAGAAAAGCACTACAATGTTAGACAACTAATTTGCCCTTTACCTCTCTCACAGTCGATAGTAATTTAATATAGAGATAGAATTATAGGCGTAAAAATCTGAATACAACGGTTTGGCGCGGAGCACACACGGGCCGCCCACATAAATCAATCCTGACTGCCAAAACATGCTGCCGAAACTGTGGCGCATACCATATACCTCTGGCCTGCCAGAAATTAAAGTTCAAGTTTTTTACAATTCAGGGAACATGCCTTAGCATTTTAATCATAATGACTTACCAAACTTAGACAGTTAAAGAATGACTGTAGGCACAATATATAAGTAACACTCTCTACACTAAGGTACTAAGACAACACTTATGAAATAATTTTCAGTACGATAAGCAGTATAGAAGATTCCAACTTCTATTCTTCACGTGCTAAATTGTTTGATATTTTCAGTAAGCACCTTTATAAAAATAGGTTTCGCTTTTCTTCCCGTTTTATGGGGTGCGTTTGTCACTGCACTCCCTAGAGAAGATAGTCGAGAAAATTAGGGCGGGCAGTGTTAGTTACCGTTACCCTTTTTACTGATTGAGTAAGAGTAATCATATCTCTGAACTATAACAAGTTAATACAATCTGCCGTTCTCAGGATTTTCTTTCTCGCTGAGAGGAGGCTGCCATGAGATTGAATAAGGAATATATAATGATGTTCTTAATAGAATAAAATCCGCTGCCTCTTCCTAATTTGCACATCGTCTCTGTCACACTGGATAAAGATTAGATGAGAGGAGCAAAAAAGTGAAGTCTCAAAGTTTGATAGGGTGCCCCGGGACACGACCTCTAGGCCGGATGCATGCGCAGGTGACCAATCAGGTTCCATTAAACTCTGGTACGGTCGCCGGAATTTTTTGCCGGTATCTGTGCGCATACCATAAACCCCTGCCTGACCTTCCAGATAGTAAATTTATCCGCATTCCAGGGACCACGCCTAAGCAATTTATTCATAATAACAAAGCTTAGATAGTTAATGAATGGCCGTAGGCACACTGTTTATCTGAGACGATAGCGTATTGTTCTTCTTTACCACGAGCAGTGTGACGGGTTCAAACTGATATTCTCTTCCACCAAATTTTTAATCGTCTTAAGCAAATGCCTCTGAAAAAATGCGTTTCGCTCTTCTAGCCCTTTCGTGCTGTGCTGTTGTCACTGCACTCTCCGGAGAAGATGCCCTGGAAAAGTGGGGTTGACCTAGGGGTGGAGGTAAGGTTTCCCATTGGGGAAACAATATTGGTAATGGGGATGGTGGTGGGATTGACATTGACACTGGGGGTGGTGACATTGGAGACATTGGGGTTGGGGTTGGGGGTGGAGGGGGTGGGGGTGGTTGCGACCCGGCCGCTTGTGACGCCAAGGTAAGATCCGTGGATATCAGAAGAGGCTGTATGAGTACACATACTGATTCATTTAAGTGTCGAAATTCAGGTGACCAATCGGGTTACTGCGCCAGCGGTAGTGGATCTCACAGTGTACTTGGACTGATTCTTGGACAAACTACACCGTTAGTCTTTTTCTCGATCGTCTTGGGATTGCAGTGCCATCTGAAAGCTGATATGAAATAGAAGTTGCATCTGTGTACCAAAAAATTGTGCCCCTGCCTCTTCTTGCAACGGACAATGTGTAAGACGGCCGCAGACAACATATCTTGTGACGACGACTAACTGGTGCTCGATAGTGCGCGTCCGGGCTGACCTGCTGTAATGGAGCCTGCACCAACCTTCAGAACACTCCCAGTAACTGCGGTACTTGTGGAAACATCGTGCGTTACCATCCGTTGCTAAGGGAAGCGAAATCACTGACCCTTAATGTTACAGTGCGCAGCAGGTGAGGACTGCTGCAGTGGCGCTTGCACCAACCTCCAGAACAATCCCAGTAACTGTGGCACTTGTGGGAACACCGTGAGTTCAGCCTAACCTTCATACTTCTAGGAGGTTTGCTATTATGTCAATGTCTTATTTCTAACGTGCTTAATCATCACGCTTCTATAGTGCGCGATAGGATCGACCTGCTCATCAGGCACCTGCAGATCATGCGCGAGCTTCCAGGCGCCGGCCACATTCGGCGTGGGGTCCACTCCGGGTGCTGTTGCAGTGGGCGACTTCAACGAAGATGGTCATCTCGATATCGTGGTTGTGAATATCGACGACAATACAGTGAGCGTCTTGCTCGGGGCTGGATCGGGGAGCTTCCAGGCGCAGGCCCAATTCGGCGTGGGGTACTATCCGGGTGCTGTTACAGTGGGCGACTTCAACGGAGATGGCTATCTCGATATTGTAGCTGCGAATTCTAGCGATAATACAGTGAGCGTCTTACTCGGGACTGGATCGGGGAGCTTCCAGACGCAGGCCACATTCGGCGTGGGGTCCTATCCGGTTGATGTTGCAGTAGGGGACTTCAACGGAGATGACGATCTCGATATCGTGGCTGCGAATTCTGGCGACAATACAGTGAGCGTCTTGCTCGGGAAGCTTTGCGTCGCTTAGAACTACCCAAGGGATTGTGGACCGGGTTTATGCAAGGATGTCTTATACTCCTTGCGACATAATAGAGCTTTTCCCGTACGAGTTTCGGACCCTTGTTAGGACGTCAGAATCGGTTTGGGAATTTTATTTGGGAATAATGCTCAATAGTGACATCTATTTTCCTCTTATTGTGAAAGTAGGAAAGAATAGGAAGAGAGATAACAGCTATCTCTAATCTCCTGTGAACTCCTCTACTTCGGCCACTTTGGCGAAGACTATCCTTAGTCATCTTAGACCCCTTAGGATCTCAGATTAATTTATATATTATCTTACGCCACTGGTAAAAGGTCGGTTCGGAAATATGTTAGCGCCAACCTACTACTTTCAGGAATAATAATCAAAGTGTAACGATATGCCCATTCTCTGCTCGCTCCTACAATGTCACGTGCCCATGCCACGTGACCCACCACCTGCCTATTTCCCATACACCATGTAGATAGCTTCCTCTCTTTTCTTTCTTCTCTAGTTTTGTTACTTTCTGTCCAATACTACATGATTGCTTCATTCATTCGAGTTCCTCACACAAAGTTTTGGATTTCCATTTTCTTGATCCAGGATATGCTGCTCTATGGATTTTGGTGATGTTTTTGTTATTTAGTGTAAGGACTCAGATGCTTTGAAAGATAGCAGTAGTATTGAACGAAGGTATTAAGCTGAGAGAGAAGAGAAGGGAAGAAGGAGAGAAGCTCCCATCGTAACTATCTACACATGAGCGGCTGCCTGCGTCACGTGCTCAGGCACCGAGAGAGCTTCGATCGTTACATTTAGGTATTTGGAAGCTAATATAAATGCTATTAGAAATCCTCAGCGTCCGAATAATAATTTTGTGGGGGAAACTTTTCTTAGGGCCATTTATGTATAAGACGCTTAACATAAGAAAAAAAGATCCGCGGCTAATTCTCATGCATTTTCTACAGGCTCCACATTCTTATCACAACTAGGAGGATGCCTATGCTCGACACAGTACCAGCCAGTCTGCTGTTTGCTAATAATGCGCGCAGCAATATTCGAAATCAGACATATATACCGAGTAAACCCCGTAGATTATCACTTGAACATGGGAAGTGGCAGAGGAAAGTGACCTCGCCAGACTCTCGAGGCCCTCTTAGACTCTTTGTTTAACTTGCTTGCATTAATATGGAAAATTCTAGTTCCCTTGGATCGCCAATTCAGTCACAAGACAGAGAGACGTATTATGATTAAGGTACAAAGTCACTGTATTGATAGTAATCCAGGAATATTGATATTCCGGGTCTATTCCTCATAAACACTAATGTGTCTTGGCATTCGTTTTGAGAAATCATGAAAGAGTGTAGGTGGTGGCATCAGTTTCGAGACGCACTGTAACTGTGACAATCGACTGTATCAACTACTGATTTGTGAACAATATCGGCAAGCTAGTGTACGAGTATTTGGTACCACCTAGAAGCACATACAAGCAGCTCCACGTGGCGACGATACCGACTTCCTGTATCGATTGTGAGTGATGGCGGGACGGGCCGCGATGCGAACCCCGGAACCGCCCGACCGCGACGAACATGGGGATTCACCACCGCGACTGTCGAGACCGAAACGCACCACCAGACCTCCGAATAACTATGCTCGAGAGCAAGAAGTCGACAACGAACAGCGGAAGACACGGTGTCAACAAAAGATTAGAACCCAAATCGAACCAGAAGCCCAACGCGACGCGACAACTTCGGATGACTCCTCGACCGAGAGTGATGACCTGAGTACTGCCAATCTCGTGAAAGAGCTCGTTAAACTCAGAGAAGAAATCCGACAGCGAGATGAGTTGCATAGAGAAGAGCTCCATAAGGTCCAGGAAGACTTTCAGAAAGCCAAGGTAGAATTTGGCGCCGCTCTTGCAGGGGTTCGACACGAGCTACAGGCCCTGACAGATAGCCCCCCGACACCGCTCTCCCACTCCAAAGTATGCGCCCAGAACAGCCACGATGGGATCCTTCGCGAAATCCAATCCCTGCGTGATGCAATCAGCCTTTCCGTTCCCTCCGGTTCCCCGTCCTATGCAAATGTTGCCCGTACTCCTCCACTCAGTCACCCGAGCAACATACGAACTCTCTCAACGTCGAACACAACACCAGCCACGTTCACTGACACTTTATATGGCAGAAAACGAAAACGAGAGGATATCCGCAGGTCCAATCCGGGCGGCGGTTGAGACAGAGATTCGGACGGTGGAAGGCCATATGCACTGGCGCTGTCGCGCTGTGACCGTGGACCCGAAGAACACCAACCGAATCAGAATAGCGTGCCGCGACGAAAATTAACACCAGCTGGTCAAGAAAGTGGCGGAAGCCAAGATCGGCGCGGGAGCCCGTGTACTCCGTGACGAGCTCTACCCGGTCAAAGTTGACAGCGTTAACAAGGCCGCTGTGCTAGATGACAAAGATGAGATCCGAGCCGAAGCCGCGGCAGCCTTCAGCGAGGAGAATGAAGCTACTGTGGCTAAGATTACATGGCTTAGCAGAAAGGATAGTGCGAAGGCATATGGGTCTATGGTTGTTTACCTGATAAAGGCACTGACGCACGGAGGCTCCTGGCCGAGGGGTTCTTTCACGCTGGGGGAGAATCTGGCGTGACCAGTACCTTCGAGTATCGACCTCGACCGACACAATGCTACAACTGCGGGGAGATTTGCTATAAAGCATTCCAATGCAAGAACACCCAGAAGTGCGCCAAGTGCGTCGCGGAGGGCCACCGCCACAGTAGCTGCGACGAGACGTTTCCAATATACGTGCCATGCGGGGGCCCACACAAATCGTTCAGCAAGAATTGTCAGAAGCTCTACCCGTCTCATCATAAGTAAAACACTCCGAATAATCCAACTGAATGTGAGGAAACAGGGAGCAGTGCATGACAGCTTATTAAACGATGAAGAAACCCAGGGGGCAGTGGCATAGCGATTCAGGAACCCTAAGCGAGGAGAATTCAAGGCCGGCTCTTAACAACCCCGATGGGATATCACAAATAGACCAAGATAGTTCCCTCCACCCGGAGAGAGGGCCGATGGGCAATCCGCAGCATACTTTGGATCAATAGGGATGTAGAAGCAGAGCAAGTGCGGATCGAGTCCCCGGACCTGACCGCGGCGGTCATCCGCCTCCCCGAGCGTCTGATATTTGTGGCATCAGTCTACGTAGAGGCGGAGATACCTCAGTGTTGGACAACGTATGTGATCGCCTTAGAAAAGCGATCACTAAGGTACAGCGACACACGGGAACAGTGGTAGAGATCATAATCGTAGGGGACTTTAACCGCCACGACTAACTCTGAGGAGGAGACAACGTATCTCTGACAAGACAAGGGGAAGCAGATCTAATCATCGACCTTATGAATGAATTTAGTCTCAGCAGCCTACTCAAACGAGGCACCAAGACATAGCACGGCAGAGGACAAACTGGGGACTGTGAGTCTATAATAGACCTCGACTTGGCTTCAGAAAACTTAAAAGACTCGATGGCCAAGTACGCAATACATGCAACGGAGCACGGGTCGGACCACTGCGCTATTGAGACCGTTTTCAATGCCCTATGGCCAGCTCCACAGCATCTGGAACGACTTTTGCTGAAAAACGCGCCATGGAAGGAAATCAATGCCAGGATCGCGACTACCTTAGCCAGCAATCCGTCGGAAGGCACGGTGCAGCGGAAGACCGACCGACTTATGTCTGCGGTGTCGGAGGCGGTGTATACTGTGACGCCGAGGGCCAAACCGTAACCGTACGTAAAGCGATGGTGGACAAGTGACTTGACACAGCTCCGTCAGATATACACATATTGGAGAAACCACGCCCGGTCGGAGCGTCGGGCAGGGCGAAAGGTGCCACACCTGGAGAACATAGCCGCAAGTGCAGCGAAACAATACCATGATGCAATACGGAAGCAGAAGAAGAATCACTGGAATGAGTTTCTGGCGGACAACGATAATATATGGAAAGCCACGAAATACTTGAAGTCGGGAGACGAAGCAGCATTCGGGAAGGTCCCGCAGCTCCTCAAGGCAGATGGAAGTACTACCACCGATCACAAAGCGCAAGCAGCTACTGACTAAATTCTTCCCGCCCCTGCCGGAGGAGATTGACGATGAAGGGACTAGACCACAAAGAACGCCCGTGGAGATGCCTCCCCTTACTATGGAAGAGGTGGAGCGGCAGCTGTTAGCCGCAAATTCGTGGAAAGCGCCTGGCGAAGACGGTCTACCGGCGATAGTGTGGAAGATGACATGGCCTGTGGTCAAGCACACGGTCTTGGAGCTATTCCGGACTTCGCTGGAAGAAGGCACATTGCCCAAGCAGTGGAGACATGCAAAGATCGTACCACTCAAGAAACCGAACAAAGAGAACCATACTATTGCGAAGGCCTGGAGACCGATTTCACTCCTCGCGACACTGGGCAAGGTACTGGAATCAGTCATCGCAGAAAGAATCTCGCACACGGTGGAAACTTACGGCCTGCTTCCGACCAGCCACTTTGGGGCTCGTAAGCAGCGGTCAGCGGAGCAAGCACTCTTGTTTTTACAAGAGCAAATCTACGCAGAGTGGCGTAGCCGACGGGTTTTGAGCCTGATCAGTTTCGACGTCAAAGGGGCCTACAAAGGGGTCTGCAAGGAACAGTTGCTTCAGAGGATGAAAGCGCGAGGGATACCGGAGGTCCTGCTCCGGTGGGTCGAAGCGTTCTGCTCGGAGCGAGCAGCGAATATCCAGATCAATTGACAAGCATCCGAGGCCCAAAGCCTCCCACAGGCTGGTCTGCCTCAGGGTTCTCCACTGTCCCCGATCCTATTCCTTTTCTTCAACGCAGATCTCGTACAGCGGCAGATCGACGGCCAGGGAGGAGCGATTGCCTTCGTGGATGACTTTACCGGATTACCGTCTCTGACGAAGACCGTCGCTGTGACGTAGGGTTGATAAAGGACTGAGTAGCGCTTTCGAGTACAGATGCAGTGTTTGGGTTGAGCTCCTCTTCTGTCGCTCTTTCGTCCTGATTCCATTGAAGCGACACTGTCTCCAACGAGATCTGAGTACATTCGCTTCTAGCATCTTCAAGGGCTGGCTCAGCTCTGGGCGAGCAGCGAGAAAAAACCGTTCCCAGAACTGATTCGTTTTGTGACCGTCTGGGAGTAGCGTGATCTCCACCCGAAGGACTTATCCGATCTAAGTCCATCGGCTCGGGTGCAATTTCTGAACCGTCCGTCTCGCAGGAAACCAGTTGGCGTGTGGGGAAATTGCTTCTTCGAAGAAGGGATGACCTGCCTGATGTATCCATGTGCTGTGCAGATCCATCCATTGGGTCGTGGCGTTCGACAAACAATGGCGACCGTAGCATCCCCTCCGCCTCTGTGTCTACATTCATACCACCATTCTCTGTAGTGGGGCTTGGCCCAACCCTTGATGACTTCCCCAAAAAGGCAAAAAAGACACAACGCCGAACAAAAAAGCTAGTGATTGTGTCAGCGATATCGACATCAGCATGCAATCGATCTAAGAATAACAAAGGGGCATCTTGCACATGGGTGCGGGTCTGCGGAACCCCAGAGCGAGCGTGCGCCTTGACGGTGCTGTCTGCCAAAAGATCTCGCGGGGGACCGGGCTGATCTGGCACAGCTTCAGTAAAACAATCTACAATTCGGCACACCAGACTATCAAAGTGCTGGTCATCGTATCTAAACCGGCCTGGCTTACGGGCCTGGAGAAGGACAGATCGTGCAATTTGGTGATCCGGAGAACTGTTCAGCAGCCTATCAATCTCCGGGGACCTAAAGCCGAGCCGGTGAGCTAGATGGGCCATGTCGTAGATCGCGCGCGGGTCCGGATTGGCACGGGTCGATTTGGCCATCAGATCATCAGTACTCTTGGGGTCCGGGGACATCAGAGGATAATGTCGCATAGCATAGAGCCATAACTGTTGGTATCCAGTCTCGAGGCATTCCGCCTCGGTCGCATGCAGGCGTCGGAAAGTAGACTCCGAGGTCTGAATGATATACTCCCCTTTCTCTCGGTGATTATCCTCAGACTCTGAGTCTGGGTTAAACATCGAGCTTATGGCTTCCCTCATAGACAAGGGCGATGGGCCCGAGAGCCGCTTCAGACAGTGAACGTAACTCTCCAGGTACTTGAAATCCTCAAAGAAAGTGTATAAGGACGGGATGAGACCATTAAAATCTTTTATTTTGGCCTATATAGCATTTCGCTCATCAGCACTGAATTCGGCAAACACATGGCCACTGAGAACCAGCCCGCACGCCGTTCTTTCATCAGTGCGTGATTTACCTGGTGTCAGTAACTGTAGGGTGTGAACCGTGTCGTGATCGATTTTCTTCATCAGACGCCGATCCGATCCTACCAGAGAAGACCAGAAGTCCAAGATGTGATCAAAATAGGTTGCTATCTCCTGAGAAATGGAGAGTTGTGGTCAGCTAGGGAAGGACAGCAGCTTGAGCCTGAAACTTACCTCAAAGCAGCCCGAGGCGATTAATCGATGAAGTAGGCTGATTCTTATCCCGCCCGGCCAAAGCCCGGGAATTGCCAATAATCGGTTAAATGAATGTCGGAGACGACGGTTCTTTTTATTGTTAAGTTGATCTAAACGCTCTTGATTGCTGGGCGATAGTCTCACGAACCACTCGGAAAGCTTCATTGCCCTCGCCCTCATACTGTCTGATCTTCTGATAGACTTCCCCATCGGTCGGCTTCTTCTGATTGAAATATTCATCCACCAACGCGGCTCTCAATTCTTGGCCGATGTCTTATTGAACGGTCAATATCGATCTGGTTAATATCAATCTGCTCAAAAGCAAGGGTGCGTCACATACCATCTGTGTAAAGATCAACTGTCCACCAGCGATCCGCCGGGGGAAGTACCTCAACGCCAGCTTGTACGCGATGACGGCTATGGAGTCCCCGAAGTTGCCCCGTTAGAAATTCTAGCCGAGGAATTTGGCGGCCTTCGGTTGTCAGCAATGATTCCTGTAGAACATTCGCCTTCTGCAATGCATCCACGAGGTTATGTCGAGACACGGTCGCGGGCATATGGTTTGGGACATCGAGACGGCGACAACGATTCTTACGAAAGATGTTTCGTAGCCGATCCAAATTTTTGGGGTCTAAGCCCTGTGGCAAGGGAGGCTTATATTGGATTTGGCAGATGCTTACTTTGGCTGCACTAATGTATTTGAGTCGTCGTTCTGCTGTGAGTCGTACCTCTTGCTTGGTGAAGACATGACGAGTTATAGTGCCAGAATGGATATGGGGCTCAGGTTGGCTCGGTTTTATCGGGTGTGAATGCCTCTATAAATATATCTGAACTCCTTTGTTGTTATGGCTCAACGTTGGCACTGTATTTCTTTGCCGGTGAGGATGTGACCAACACTATTGTGTTCGACAGGCACGAAATGCCTATTTAAGCCGAACAGATTTCCCCTTTAGGTTTCGCGCTTGCGCTCCTTTTTCTATTTTCTACTATTTGCAACTTCTACCCTGCTTCCATTATACGAAAACTTGTCGAAAAGAGAGTGACAAGAATCCAGGCTGCTTAAGTTGTATTGCTCCCCCAGCCGTAAACCCGAACAGAAGTATCACCGGTAACTGATCTCGAACCCGGTCTACAACGTCTGTATCTGGAACCTACTCCAAGAAAGAGGCCTGCAGCTCCCTTAGCCTCAGAGCATACCGGCAAAGAAACTTGATTGATAGTTGGAAGCTCGCCTCACTATGACACTAAGCAGCGGGAGAGCGATAGCGGTCTGGGCCTAGCAACCAGAAAAGAATCTCCCTGGAACAATTTCAGAAAATACTACGATTGTGATTTAGCTGGCCCTGTCGCAGTATGTGTTTGATCATCTAGAGACCGCGGCGTCTGGGCAGTACGCCAGTATCCAATTGAGAACGCTGACAAGATACTGCGGATCCTCCGCTCTATGCGCCATAAGAACCTGACCTCTATGCAGAAGTATTTCTGCACTCCGGAGCTTCTGTACACACTGGGGGATTTCGACCCTCTCGTTCTAGATTATATCGTCGCTTGCAAAGCCTTCCCAGACAAGCAGGAGCTGGCTGCCATTATATCTCAGGTTTGTTTCTTATTTCTTTCCACCTGTCTGCCATATAACCAAATGACTGATCTGGCACAGTTTATTGCCGGGCTGTTATACCTCGTGGCGAACAACTTCCATCACATATCTCTGGACTGTTCTAGCGTCCCCGTCAATCTAAATAGGTACGTCAAAATCGGCAAGTTCATTCCATTACTACCTCCCAAGTCAATCCAACCTAACAAGGCACGGTAGCACGGATTGATTGCTATATATTCCGGCAAAGAGGGAGAGTCGATGCCAGTGACCTGGCGCCAGTCTCGAGAATTATGATGGAATTGATGTAAAAATATGTCAAAGAAGATGGGGCTGTAGGCATTGATAATCTCGACCGCTGGAGAAATTGCCCGGCTGTGATTAAATTTCTCTGCGCGACAATATCGGCAAGCTCTTTTGAGGAACTGAAAGAGGTTTATTTCCCTTAGGCTTTTCTACAACGGTGCTCTCAAACGGTACTAATAATATCTAACAACGACTGTTGACGGAAATTCCATACTGCCCGGGGAATCTCATCAGATTTGCGTGGTTCGCGTTGATCTCCGCTCGCACATTCTACTCGTATGCGCCAGGGCCTATGAAGAATGATTAAAGCAGAAGTCAAATTTCTATACTGGCGCCCCTGCTCTGTCAGCCACAGCAGCGGTAGTTTGACCGATGAAAGAAAAATTATGCCCGGTACGGTAACCGACGATCTTCCTGTTGCTGATTGTTTAAGCTTTTGTTCTATCGGTTATTAAATGATAAGCATTTTGATTCTGATAGAAAAGAGTTGAATTGATTGCGTCATATCAAGGTCTAGCCGCTGTTTTTCACTGCAATGCGTGGCCCGGTCAATTCATAATTGACCAAGTATCTCATTCAAATTGGCCGATCAGGGAGATTCAGAGATCAAATCGGCAAGTTTTTATCGCATTTCAATTGCCCAAATATCATATTTTTACTACTCTTTCAAGTGTATAGACGGAGACTCCAACTAGCATCATATTGTCGGGACTACTTATTGCGTTTGCTGCATGCGATCTCCCTATTATTTAATTACTCCGGCTGGTATTCCAGCTCCGAAGCCTTATACCACGATGTAAAAAGCCCTTGACGGTCTTTCGGATTTGGTCTCTGAGACTACCTGCTGCTGAAACTAGAAAGAAATTAGTATACGATAGATTAGAGCCAGGCTACGGTAGGGTCACTTACCCATCACCAAGGTCCGGCCTTGCTTATCGCGGATACTCGGTAGCCTCTTAATCTGGTCTCCAGATGCCTCGAGCGAGACTATGTTGTTATTATTAGGTGCACCTTGGTAAAAGCAGGCTCTTTCATATTTTCCTATTGGCGTCTTATTATGAGCAAGCCCTTTTTCGACGTAGATTGAAATGCTGAGGATCTGTAGACGTATTTCCGTCAATATTAAACAAAGTTTCTATTTTGAAGCTGGTGACTTATATAGCCTTTATCTATTATATCGTCCTCTAGGAGAGGGTTTAGCAGGTACTCGGCTGCACTGACCATTTCTGATTTGTTAGTGTTGGTGCTTGCTGACTGGAAACGGAGAGGTCTTCTTACCTATTGATTCTATCTGCTATACAAAATGCAGCCGACGGATATGAAGTGTGCAGGTATTATAGCCATGTATCATCTTCTTCAGATAGGGGATTGTTGTAGCGATCCCGAAACCACTCGCAACCAGTAGCACGGTTTTAAACCTGTCAACAATCTCACTGGTACCATGTGGATCTGTGAACATGGCCAGAAATGGTACAGAACAGCCAGGAGCGCCAGTGGCAAGGCTCAGTAAGTCTGATGTTATGCCACCGCGTGGCTGCACAAATAGCTCAATCGTGTCATGTCTTCCGCGCAACTACGATGTAACTATGAAGGGGTGTGTTTGAAGCCACGGCCAAGATCCAACTGACGGCATCCATAAGTTGATATACTGGCCCGTATCGATCTCTATAGATCTGGGCAGAACCAGACGAACCTGGGCCGCTTTGTTTAGCTTAGGATGTGTAAGAGATCCTTCTGGAGTGAAGGATATAAAGGCCCGAGGAGGGCCGTGGCCCGAAAATAGTCTATTTGTGTAACAAAGGTTGATAATCTCCAGGAGTGTAGTCAGGGCCAGGATCACCAACGGCACGTAAAGGTACAATTTTGACAAGCGACTCTGATCTGGGAGATATCGCCACGCGCTATATAAAAAGAGAGCAGTCAGAGCTTGGTGGCTTCGGAGGAAGACTTTATAACACCGTCGGCGAAGCCAGGGGAGAGAAAGGAGGGCAAGTGCGGCTAAAGAGATTGATCCCTATTAGTGTTAGCCCTGTTTACATGAGGGGGAGAAGGAAACTTACAATCAGGGTAAATATGTTACGTGTTGGCCTAAGAGGAAAACTGAATCCCCGGCTCTGGCAACCGGCAACCACGTGAAAAGACAGGAGAGCAACAGACATCCAACCTGTTGCCTGATGAATCTTGCAGTAAGTGCGCCAGGTGATACCCAGAAGGTCTGCGAGGCAACCGAGGTGAGTGGCGGAGAGGGGAAAAGTAAGGTTGATAAGAGCCAGCTCTCTAGCTCGACGGCCAGCTTGGGCGACGGAGTGTGTATAAAAGAAGACTATAATGATATTTACGATAATGTAGATAAGATAGATAAGAAAATTTAATCGGGACCAGGGTCCCCAAACCCGATGTCTGTGGATGAGAGTAGGAAGTGTGACGTGCCGAGAGATCAGAACTGAGCAGGACTCGATCCAGCCAACCATAGTGGTTCGGGTCTGGATTAGGAAGAGAGCTAAAAAGCAGCCTCCAGCGGCGATTGCATAAATCGATGATACATTCATCTTCAGCGGGATCTTTAATTACCATGGAAATTGGGGGACGACATATGAGGGGAGAGCGGACCTCTTTTAAATGAAAGCCATTAGCCACGGCATCGTCATGTTCCTATTAGTGATACGTTGCAGCGAAGGCGGAAGCATCAAAAACATGAAGCAGAACACTTCAGAGAGCCTCAACTGAATGCTTCCAATGCCATAATGGCTCAGCTGCTGCACAAATCAAAATTAATGAGCTGCCCTTGAGAGTGCTGGGAAGAGAGCGTGTCCGAAAATGAAGGCTACATATTAGACGCTTGTATGGGCTCCAAGGAGACACAGCATTAGCTAAAGCATGTATATTTAGATCAGTGCTAGTTGCCCTTTCGGTTTAGCCGCCGGGCGTTAATGAATTGTGTGTGTGTGTGTGTGTTTGTGTGTGTGTATTAGACGCATTTGAAATGTAGCTTGCTTGTTCTTTCTAGTTCAAAAATTCCTACTTGTCATAGCCTACATCTATTTGCAACCGATAAAGTCTAACGGCTCCTGTCTCGGACGTGATCCCTTTTTCTCAGCCATTCCATTATTAGACTGACCTGAGTAGCATCTTGATTGGTGGGTGTAGGGATTGTGGCCAAATTGGATTCTTGTAGGTCTCACCGTGGAACATTCTAGACTCCAGGAAATACAAGCCCATTGATGAAATTGAGTCTTGTTCTAGAACATTATCACTTTTGAGGTGAGGTGCGAAATCCCAAGGGAAAAAGTGATTATGGTTTTCACGATTAGGTCGAGTTAGGCAGATTGAAGTGGAGACTAGGATCATGATCTACTCCTTTCCATGGTTCAAGTGAATGTTTCTTACTGTCGTGCAGACATAGCACTAGACATGAGAAGCTGATAGGCGGACAGAGATGGTTCCCGGGAAACGAAAGGGAAGGCCCGAAAAGCATGAGATTTCAGAGCCATGGAACCAATGTAGGACAAAAGTACGACTCAGTGCTCTCCAATCGGCGCTATTCGGTGGTGAATAAATGGCGCACCTCGATTTTATTGCCAAAATGAACTTGATTCTATCATTCATGCTATAGTGAAAGCCAACCTATCCAATCATCTATTCAGTATTTTGCCACAACTTCAATAGCACATTGTGAAGCCGACGCTATATCGGCCACTTTATTTGCATACCTTAGTCGTTCTGCCCTGTCGATCCTTAAACAAATGGCCCATACCCATTGGTCGAGGTTGGAGCTTGTGGGTCAAGCAGCGGCGGATTGCTTGATTCGGAGAACCCGGGAAGCGCGTTAGGGTCCGTGGCTCCAAAAGGACCGGCCTGGGCGACCCAATCGCTATGCAACACCTCGGTGCCAGGCAAGAAGGACGCCAGTCGTTTGTTCTGAAGACCATCGATCAAGTTCCCGAAACGAATCGCAACGGAGATCAGTTCTCCGTGGGTCTGATGCAAGACTGGCTGTATATCGTCCCATGCCACCTGGTCCTGCAAAGTGGTGTTTGTAGACTCGAGCTGCTGCCGCAGCTGCAAAGTCTCCTTCTTAAGTCGCTCAACTTCTGTGACCGCAGTGTCTTTCTCGGCAATGGCTTTGTGTACGTTTGATGCCTCTCGAACTTTCTCAGCGTGGAGCTCTCGAATGAGCTGGGAAGCGCTGGTTCTGTCATCTTCTCTCTCTGCATAACCTTTTCAACGTCCTGTTCAAAGCCGGTAAGAATGTCAAAGCCCTTGCGATGGGAAATATTTTGATGTCGTCTCGTGGGGTGTTTCATGGAACGTTTCTTGGCGTCTGTCAGTGAAAGGCCAATCATAGGTCCGAAATAACATATGATGATAGAAATTACCATGGCATATAACAGGAACGGAAATGGAAATGACAGAGTTTAACTTACGTCGAATATCTTGCTCGTTGCTGGGCTCAGCGGGCCAGAGTCAGTGTTAGGTCCCGAGACTGTCGACCGGATAGAACGGCTCAACGAGTTTCCGGATCTGCCAGCGCGCGATTTGGACCTACTAGCATGTCCGGTGCGACTTCGAGAAAGTCTAGGATCGTTTGCCATTCTGGATAAATCTTCGTTCGTCAGACAGCTATTGAGAGTAGACAGTGGGAGAATGTGAAAAACGGCGGACTTCTCTGGGATGCCTTGTTATAAAGGTTTAGGTGGGGCCCAGAACAGCAAGTGCGAAACAATGTGAAACGCAGTATATCGTCCCTGGAGATGATTTTGATGGCACTAACATCAATATTGTGAGTAAAAACTACGCACCAGGCTCTGCGGGGCGTCAGTGGAGACGTAGGAGATGGAAATGATTGCCTTAGCTGTGGAGTAGTTAGTGACATGATCGCCCGACCCATACAAATGTTAGATCTGTGATTTACTACCAAGTCCCCACTCCATTATCTGCCTTGATTGCTCTCAATTAAAGCACCAAGTTCAGAGATTGAATTAATCTTGTATATTATATCCAACTGGCAGTCTTTATCAATGAAGAGCCTGTTTCGAGACTGTCCTTGAGCCACATCGGTAAGATCCAACATAGCGTGACCAAATCTCTCAAATTACCATGGAAGCATCGCCGACATTTTGACAGGCCGAGGAGGTTCAATTGACGGCGCAACCAGGGCTAGTTTCCTCAGCAACCAAACGTGAATTTTCTGCCTATGGATATCTGGTCCGCAGGGGCCCTGAAACTCACAATGACTTTCCCACTAAGCATAATGGACCGATAGGGGCAGCCAACCATTGAATTGTAAGGTACTGCGGTGTACAATTTGGGATAAGCTTGCTTAGCACGACCAATAGGCCATTATCTAAGCTCTTAGGTGGATTAGGTAGGATCCATGATGGCCTGGGCACAATCCATTCGCGTAGAATGATGCCCAAGGTAACATCCAGATGGTTACAGCGCGAAGTGTTTGGAATTGTGCAGAAATGGCACCTGAAGCCTACTAATCAGTCATGAAAAATGCTAGCTTTTAGCACTGGGTAGGACTGTCTGACGAAATTCAGGGACTACCAAGTTCTCGCTGAAAGTGGATATACGCCGGCCAATACTCCCGAGTAGATTATGCTATGGGCACGCTTCGTAAGATTCTGCCGTATATTTAGTAGCACTAATCGCTTGTGGCATCTACTGAGTGTAGTCTAATATCATTGGGTCTACTGGATACTGATTCAGTGAGTGAATGGAGACCACCAAGTAACTGAGTCACGGCCCTAGGCCACTGTTTGGTTCTCTTTACGTAATAATGTAAATATAGTATACCAACAAACCCAATATTGTTATTTGCAAAATTAATTCGCCACTCGCTGTTTTCAGCATATAGTTTTGAGGAACCAGACGAAAGCCGAGATTGGATTGCCGCACTCCGTCTTCCGCTAGAACCATGGTTCCCGCACCCTTACTCGCCCAAACTTTATGCTCCAGTACTTCAACCGTGTATATTTTAGCACATAGTGCGTGTTGAAAGAGTGCAGAGGAAAATTCTTTCTCTCAGAATAGCATGTGTGATACTGAGACTTCAGAAATACTGCACTCGAAAATCTGAGAAACTATGAGAATATTCGCTGATGTGTTAGGACAATCCCCTGAGGGGTGTCCTGGTACGATATGGATACGAGTGAAGAATGTGAGATGTGCCTGGTATGGGTATAATGATATTCAGACTAATCGCTGGTCCTCCCAAGAGGATCCAGCCCCTCCTTTTAAGGGGACCTCTGCGTGTGTATGCACGTAGATAAGCGAGGTGATGTATCAACTGGCATTCCGGTAGTGCATTGGCACCTCTTCCGCATTTCCTATACATCGTTGTACGGTTGGCGTAACAGGTAGCCTGGTTAGGCAAAAAGCAGTAATCTAATCCTGGTCGACTTGAGCTCCAACATGGCATGAGAGCCTTAGCGGAGATCGATGAAGTCCCCGCACATGTAAGTAGATGTGCTCTTGCAGCAAAAACAAAGGTGCGCTGTAGAAAAAATACGCCTAATGGGAATGTAGTGTGAATGCACCTACATGCGCAAGAGGCCAACTATTGATAGGCTGTGTGGCACACGTGGTGTTCATCTGTAGGCTTGTGCTACGACAAGGAGACCTGGAAACCCGGGCGAGAGAATGCAAATGGAGCCCGTATATTTGATCTAGAAAATATAATTCCATCTGAGTAATTTACAAAAAACAAAGACCAGTATCATGCTAGATGTATCAATGAGTGCTCGAATATCCTGTGCACACTTTCGTCAGCAACCAAATCTATCTATATGGGGCCCACTTCAGATTTAATTTTAAAGTAAAGGGCTTTAAAAGCATACCTTGGTTAATATTTTCATTAAATGCAGCGCCCACCGCCCAAATAAAGGTTGATCATGGTGGCTAGCTGAATGATCGACACGTTGGTCCGAGCACCAATCTTGGCACTCGCCCTGTGGTGGCTAACCCAATACTGATTCTGCAAAACCTCCAGTTTATTGAAGCGATATCGTCATCGCAGCTGGTCAGGGTCAGTTATATAATATTGTATGCTAGGCAGCTTTCCTCGAAACTTGGGCCACACGGAAGCCGGAAATTCCTACAAAGCTAGGTGAGTCAGCTGCAGCCACCCACGCCACAGCCAGCTCAGCGCCCACTGCGTGTCCGGCAGGCTAAGGATCAGCGAAACAGATTACCGAGACCTACGGTGGATGACTTCTATCCAGAAATGACAAAGGAGGAAATTTTTCTGCCACGAGAGGCCTATGAACTGCCCGAATGTATGTATGGCCTAAGGGAAGGGTTTTATAGACAAATGTGATTTATCGCTGTGTGGATCATGTTACCGCGCTCAAATGGCAGAGGCAGCGGCCCTCCCAAGGAGCGTCGGGAGAAGGTGATTTTGATTAGCTGTTGATGGCCACAACTAAATCGGGGCGGCAACAGGATACCGAAAGGTGTCGGCAGCAAATGTATTGGATATAGAGGAGGACCGACTAGTCACGTTCTTTTAGATCCATACGCCAAACTCACAGAACTGATTATTGATATGACCAAGGTTCTACCCAACTTAGAACCCCAGTTCCAGATACTTGGTTCTATCTAGTTCTGTAGTAGAGTTACAATACATACATCTCCTTCTCAGCAAACCAATCTATTTTCTTGATGTGCATATATGCTATGTTGGTTACACCGCATGATACACACACATACACACAATTCATTAGCGCCCGGCGGCGAAGCCGAAAGGGCAACTATCACTAATCTATTAAAACATTTCCTAAAATATGGCTTGTCTCCTTGGAGCCCATACATGTTTACTTCCAGTATTTGTCATCTCAGCTGTCAATGTCGATCGTGGTGCGTCCTCGCGGGTTAGTAAATTTGCTGGTAGATTGGCTTGAAGGCGCTTCTCCAAGTGTTCAACATCCTATTATCGGCAGTTGAAGCGCGTCTACCATATCGGGCACGAGGTGGTTGATGTGGGTTACTTTGGGGGGAGGGGTTCGTTTGTGTTGGTCGACGTGGTCAAGTGGCGTCCGGTCGGCCGGTGGCTATTGCAAAGCGTATTGAGGCTCGCACTGCTTCTAGGTTGGGCGTCCAATTCTGATCATCCGAAGTCGATTTCCCGCCTAGGAAGAAGGATATGTTGCCTCGGTGGGTGTGGGTGCACTGCAGCATTTCCGTCCGGTATGTAGTCCACTTCCGACATCGAAAGAGGAAGTGCTCCACGGCTTCTCGTGCTTGTCCACATTCACATTCATCTGTCTGCGCTACGTTGATTCGATGGAGATATCCGTTGAGTCTAGCCATGCCAGTCCGGAGTTGGGCCAGCACACTCGCTTCTTTCCACGATAGCGGCCCTGGCCTGCCTGCTCTTTCGCCCGGCCCAACAATTGGTTATTCTCGTAGGTCGGAACCCAGCGGATGTCCATCTGGTTCTCGTGTCTCCGTAGCCTTTGAACCAACTTGTATATTTGGCAGATGTGTTCCTGGCCCGACTGTTGTCGAGGATTCTTCAGCGTGAGAGCCGCCGCTTTGTTGGTGGTGAGCAGCGTGACCCTGCACCGCTTTAGTCCCCGTAGTGTGCTCGGTGTGTATGCCATTGTTGCCAATTCGCCGGAGTATGGGTTCTGCGCGGTTCTTGCGCCCAGTGTGACGGAGACGGTCTCCAGTCTCGGTTTTCGGTACCGAGGTGGCTGCTTCTCAATCGCCACGCCAAATCCTACCATCTCATTCCGCGCCGAACTGCTGACGCGATCTGTATGACTCCGCCCGCTTCGGTCTGTGTCTCCGGTAAATCATGACCATCGCTCTGTATACGTTCCTCCTATGGTGCCAATGTGAATGGATTGATGGTTTCCAGTATTTCCATCTCAATGCTTTTCAGTGCGTCTGCGACCTGATACAATGGCGAACGGTGGTATCTTCTGAAGTTCTTGATCTGAGCTGTACTCCTGCGGAGGGGATTGGTTACCGGTAGGGTATGGATGTCTGTCCATATCTTTACAGCTCGTCGCCAGAGCCGGTGTTGCACTGTGGTGATGTGAGCCTCTGCTTCCGCTACGCTGGTCGCAACTGTAAGGAAGGTTCCGACAATCGCTTGTGCTCCTACCCTTTGCACTCTGTTGATCGGCCTGATGTTCTTATTCTTTAAAGTATGCATCCAGACATTAGAGGCATAATCCACCACCGGGGCCACAGTCGATGTGAATAGCTGCCGCGCTGTAGCTGGGGAGAGACCTCGAAGTCGTCGAAGCTCCATTGCCGCCTCCAGGCCCTTGGACACTGCTCTTGCGATGTGTCCCTTGTATTTGAGTCTTGTATCCATTATGACGCCAAGAATCTTGACATAGTTTCTGGGTTCAACGATCTCTCCCTTAATAGTGAATGGCTCTGTGCTTGTTTTGTGAGCCTTGAGGGTGAAGTATATAATAGCAGTTTTCTCTGCTTCAAAAGTCGCTCTACTTCTCCTTTCCCAGTCGAGTGCTTCATTGACGATCGCTTCGATACCTTCCCGGTTACTTTGCGCAGTCGGTCCGGTTACCCACGCGGTGAAGTCATCCACGAAAGCAATCGCTCCTCCCTGGCTATCGATCTGCCGCTGTACGATATCTGCGTTGAAGAAGAGGAATAGGATCGGGGACAGTGGAGAACCCTGAGGCAGACCAGCCTGTAGGAGACTTTAGGCTACAGATGCTTGCCCATTGATTTGGATGATCGCCGTTCGCTCCGAGCAGAACGCTTCGACCCACCGAAGCAGGTCCTCTGGAATCCCTCGCGCTTTTATCCTCTGGAGCAATCTTTCTTCGCAAACCCTATTGTACGCTCCTTTGACATTGAAGCTGATTAATCTCAGGACCCGCCAGCCACGCTACGCTGTGTAGATTTGCTCTTGTAGGAGTAAGAGTGCTTGCTCCGCTGACCGTTGCTTACGGGCCTTAAAGTGGCTGGTCGGAAGCAGGCCGTAGGTTTCCACCGCATATGAGATTCTTTCTGTGATGACGGATTCCAGCACCTTCTTGTGAGGAGTGAAATCGGCCTCTAGGCCTTCGTAATCGTATAGTTCTCTTTGTTCGGTTTTTTGAGCGGTATAATCTTCGTATGTCTCCACTGCTTAGGCAATGTGCCCTCATCCAGCGACGCTTGAAACAGCTCCAGGACCCCGTGTTTGACCACGGGCCATATTATCTTCTACACTATTGCTGGTAGGCCATCTTTACCTAGTGCTTTCTAAGACTTTGTCGCCAACAGCTGCCGTTCGACCTCTTCTATAGTGATGGCAGACATTTCCACGGGCGCTCTCTGCGGCCTGGTCCCTTTATCGTTAATTCTGTCCGGCGGTGGTGGGAAGAATCTGGTCAGCAGTTCCTCCGCTTGCTCTTTATGATCGACGGTTACAGTTCCATCCGCCCTGAGGAGTTGTGGGACCTTCCCGAATGCTGTATCACCTCCCGACTTGAGGTTTTTCGCGGCTTTCCATATATTATCGTTGTCGGCCAGAAACTTATTCCAGAGCTTCTTCTTTTGTTTCCGTATTGTATCGTGGTATTGTTTCGCTCCACTCACGGCCGTGTTATCCAAGTGCAGCGCCTTTCGCCCTGCTCGTCGCTCCGAGCGGGCGTGGTTAGTGTGTGTATATCTAACGAAGTTGTGTTAGGTCCGCCGTCCACCACCGCTTTGTGTGTGGCGACGGTTTGGCCCTCGGCGTTAAAGCATGCACCGCCTCCGATACTGCAGACAAGAGCCGGTCGGTTTTCTGCTGCACCGTGCCTCCCGCCGGAGTGGTGGCTAAGGCGCTTGCAATTCGTGCGTTGATGTCCTTCTATAGTGTATTTTTGAGCAGCAGTCGTTCTTGATGCTGTGGAGCCGGCCACGGGGCATCGAAAGCGGTCTCAATAGTGCGGTGATCCGAGCCGTGCTCCGTTCTATGTATTGCACACTTGACCATTGAGTCTGTCAAGTTTTCTGAGGCCAGGACGAGGTCGATCGTGGACTCGCAGTCCCCACTCTGCCCTCCACCGTGCTATGTCTTGGTACCTCGTCTGATTAAGCTGCTGAGAGCAAATTTATTTATGAGGTCGATGATTGGATCTGCTTCTCCTTGTCTTATTAGAGACACGTCGTCTCCTCCCCAGAGTTAGTTATGGTGGTTAAAGTCCCCCACGATTATGATCTCCACCACTGTTCCCGCGTCCCGCCGTACCTTAGTGATTGCTTTTCTGAGGCAATCGTATTCGTCATCCAACACCGAGGCATCACCCCCCTCTACGTAGACTGATACCATAAAAATCAGTCGCTCGGATAGCCGGATAACTGCCGCCGTTAGGTCCGGCGACTCGACCCGTACTTGCTCTGCTTCCACATCCCTATTGACCCAAAGTATACTTCAGATTACCTATCTCCCTTCCCTCTAGGTAGAATAAACTATCTTTGTCTATTTATAATGCCCTATCGGGGTGGTCAAGAGCCAGCCTTGAATACTCCTCGCCTAGGGTTCCTGAATCGCTAGCGCCACTGCGCCCCGTGTCTCTTCATCGTTCATCAAACTGTCGTGCACTGCTCCCTGTTTCCTTATATTCAGTTGAATGATTCGAACGCTTTTATTTATGTCGTGATGGATAGAGTTTCCGATAATTCCTGCTAAACGATTTATGAGGGCCTCTACATAGAACGTACTTCGGAACCGTTTGGTCGCAGCTACCGTAGCGGTGGCCCTCCGCGGCGCACTTGGCGTACTTCTGGGTGTTCTTGTACTAGAATGCGTTGTGTCTAATTTCCTGGCAATTATAACATTATATCGGTCGAGGTTGATACTCAAAGGTACTGGTCACGCCAGATTCTCCCCCAGCGTGAAATAACCCGTTAGCCAGGAGCCTCCGTACGTCAGTGCCTTTAGTCAGGTAAACGACCACGGACCTATATACCTTCGCACTAACCTTTCTGCTAAGCCATGCAATCTTAGCCACAGTGGCTTCGTTCTCCTTGCTGAAGGCTGCCGCGGCTTCGGCTCAGATCTCGTCTTTTTTATCTAGTACAGCGGCCTTATTGACGCTGTCAACTTTGACCGGGTAGAGCTCGTCACGGAGTACCCGGGCTCCTGCACCGATCTCGGCTTCTGCCACTTTCTTGAACAGCTGGTGCTTATCTTCATCGCGGCACGCTATTCTGATTCGGTTGGTGTTCTTCAGGTCCACGGTGACGGCTCGACAGCGCCAGTGCGTGTGGCCTTCCATCGTCCGAATCTCTGTCTCCACCGCCGCCCGTATTGGGCCTGCGGACATCCTCTCGTTTTCATTGTCTGCCATCTTCGAGGTATCTACCGTGCAATATAACGTGTCGGTGAACGTGGTTAGTGTTGTATTCGATGTTGAGAGCGTTCGTATGTTGCTCGGGTGACTGAGTGGAGCAATGTAAAAAACAGTATGTTGTTTTGATGACAGAGCAGCTTCATGATTGAAATTATGTAAAAGTTGGGTCGAGTTGGGTTTTACTGGGGCCCCAGTATTGGGCCCGGGTTGGGTTCTGGGTCAGAACATTCGTGTTGAAATATCCCGGTTGCTGAGATAATAATGAGGCTAGGATCATGGTCATACAAATATACCTGTGTCAGGAGAAATAGGCGGAGTGCATGGTAGAATACCGGAAACATGGACGAGAACGGTTAGCGTAGATCAGGTAACTTTGTAGACAAAATAGGTGCGAAGATACATGCCAACTACATAGACTTCTCCGCCATTTCGCGTACGCTCTATTGTAGGCTTTCACCGCTTCTGACAACCTGTCTCTCAGCCTACTTGTATCTTAGACAACCCATACAACACCACACACAATTAACTCCCCTCAATAACATGAACACTGAAGCATCACTTAAAAGTCAACACTTCGACCCAAATTGGGTTATGCGGAAGTCTACATATTTTCGAATTGACCTTTGATTCGAGGTCTTGAGTAGCGAGGAAGTTTGCCTCTTGATCCTAGAGTCCAAGATGAGCAGGGATAAACTTTGCCAAAATGGCTAAAGTAGAAGAGTTTTTAAGAGATTACAGAGAGCTGTTATATTTTTCGATTATTGATTATTATTACTAAAAGTAAGTCTTAAATCGAGTCCGAAACGGGAAAACGACTGGGAAGTCGCGAGGAGTATGACATCATTGCACATTCCCGGTCTGCGATCCCTAAGGCGGTTTAAGTGTCGCAAGGCTTCCCGAGCAAGATGCTCACTGTATTGCCGCCAGCATTCGTAGCTACGATATCGAGATAGCCGTCTCCGTTGAAGTGGCCCACTGCAACACCAAGCGGACTGGACCCCACGGGAAATGTGGCCTGCGGCTGGAAGCTCCCCGATCCAGTCCCGAGCAAGACACTCACCGAAATGCCGCCGTTGTTCGCAGTCACGATATCGAGATAGCCATCTCCGTTGAAGTCGCCCACTGCAACACCGAACGGCCCGTTGCCCACGGGAATGTGGTCTGCGGCTGGAAGCTCCCAGACCCAGTCCCGAGTAAGACGCTCACTGTATTTCCACTGACATTTCCAGTCACGATATCGAGATAGCCATCTCCGTTGAAGTCGCCCACTGCAACACCGAACGGCCCGTTGCCCACAGGGAATGTGGTCTGCGGCTGGAAGCTCCCAGATCCAGTCCCGAGTAAGACGCTCACTGTACTGCCGCCGCTATTCGCAATCACGATATCGAGATAGCCATCTCCGTTGAAGTCGCCCACTGCGACACGTCGTGGATTGAGCCCCACGGGAATGTGGCCTGCGGCTGGAAGCTCCCCGATCCAGTCCCGAGCAAGACACTCACCGAATTGCCGCCGTTGTTCGCAGTCACGATATCGAGATAGCCATCTCCGTTGAAGTCGCCCACTGCAACACCGAACGGCCCGTTGCCCACAGGAATGTGGTCTGCGGCTGGAAGCTCCCAGACCCAGTCCCGAGTAAGACGCTCACTGTATTTCCACCAACATTTCCAGTCACTATATCGAGATAGCCATCTCCGTTGAAGTCGCCCACTGCGACTGCGACCGGACCGGACCCCGTTCCGAATGTGGCCTGCGGCTGGAAGTTCCCCGATCCAGTCCCGAGCAAGACGCTCACTGAAAATTGATTGGCATTTGCAGCCACGATATCAAGATAGCCATCTCCATTAAAGTCGCCCACTCCAACATCATACGGCGTGGTCCCCGTGCCGAATGTGGCCTGCGCCTGGAAACCTGGGAAAATCGTGCATATGCAGGCGCCGGATGAGCATGCCTCACCTTCTGCGCACTATAACGTTAAGGGTCAGTGGTTTCGCTTCCATTAGCAGTGGATGATAACGCACAGTGTTCCCACAGGTGCCACAGTTACCGGGAGTGTTCTGAAGATCGGTGCAGGCTCCATTGCAACAAGTCAGGCCGGACGCGCACTATAACATCGGGGGTCAGTAATTGCGTCCCCATCAGCGACGGATGATAACGCACAGTGTTCCCACAAGCCCCACAGTTGCTTGGATTGTTGTTGAGGTTGGTGCAGGCGCCATTGCAACAGGCCTCACCTTCTGCGCACTATAACATTAAGGGTCAGTGGTTTCGCCTCTATTAGCAACGGATAAACCCCACTGTATTCCCACAAGTCCCACAGTTACCGGGAGTGTTCTGGAGGTTAGTGCAGGCTCCACTACAGCAATCGTCACCTGCTGCGCACTGTAACAACAAGGGTCAGTGATTTTGTTGCTGTTAGCAACAGATGATAACGCACTGTGTTCCCACAAGTGCCGCAGTCACTTGGATTATTCTGGAGGTTGGTGCAGGCCCCATTGCAACAGGTTAGGCCTAACGCGCACTATCGACCACCAGTTAGTCGTCGTCATAAAATATGTAGTTTGCGGCCGTCTTACACATTGCCCGTTACAAGAAGAAGATGGAGGATCACAATCTGGCTGACAGGTAAGGGTGCCTGATGAGCAAGTGGATATAGATCCAGCAGGGCACTATCGAAACGTGAGAATTTATCATATTAGCAGTCAGAAAAGCGACACAGCCAAGAAGGTTAGGCTAAGCTCACAGTGTTTCCACAACTTCCACAGTTACTTGGATCGGTGTCAAGGCTGACGCAGGCCCCATTGCAACAGCTCAGTCCGGACGCGCACTATCGAACACCATTAGTTGTCGTCGCAAAATATGAGTCTGCGGCCATCTTACACATTTCCCGTTGCAAGAAGATGAAGGAGGATCACAATCTGGAGGGTTTGGGAAGCAGGTGCAGTTTCTATTTCCTGTCAGCTTTTGGATGGCTCTGCAATCCCAAGACGATCGAGAAAAAGACTAACGGCGTAGTTTGTCCAAGAACAAGTCCAAGTAAACTAGGAGATCCACTGCCGTTGTCGCAGTAGCCCGATTGATTGCCTAATCCCCGACACTTTAATGAATTAGTGTGTTACAGTAGTATTAACAGCCTCTTTGCATAACCACGAATCTTACCTTGGCGTCACAAGCGGCCGGGTCGCAACCACCCCCACCCCCCTCCAACCCCAACCCCAATGTCTCCAATGTCACCACCCCCAGTGTCAATGGCAATCCCACCACCATCCCCATTACCAATATTGTTTCCCCCATGGGAAACCTTACCTCCACCCCTAGGTCCACCCCACTTTTCCAGGGCATCTTCGCCGGAAACTGCAATAACAACAGCGCAGCACGAAAGGGTTAGAAGAGCGAAACGCATTTTCGTAAAGGCGTCGTTTGCTAAAGACGACAGAAAAGAAAATTTATAGAAAAGAAAATGGTTAATGTAACCCCGTCGTACTGGTCGTTAGACTAGAAACAGCCTGTCTTGCTTCTTAGGTATTATATTCAGCGCGTTTCGACGGTTATTTATTAAATAAGGTTCCTTATTACAAATAAATCGCTTAGGAATGTTGCCTAGAATGTGAACTATTTACTTTTATTCTACACGAACAGCAATCATGTAGAAGTCAAGGAGCTTATGGTATGTGCTTAGATTCCGGCAAAATATTCCGGCAATTAGAATAGAGTTATGTGGGATCTGGTTGGTCCCTATGTGTCTCCTCGCCTGGCTGTTATATTCGGGAACACCCTCCCAAACCATAAGGATCTATATTTTTATCAAGTATATTAAATATCTTAAGCATCTATTTTCTCCAATAATAGTGCTTTAGGTTATGGATAATTTGTTAGTCTAACAGTTAGTAATTTAACGCTAAATATGCCAGGAAGAAAACCACTATAATATTAGGCAGCTAATTTGCACTTACCTCTCTCACAGTCGATAGTAATTTAATATGGAGTTATAATTATAGGTGTAGAAATTCGAACACAACGGTTTGGCTGGGAGCACACACGGGCCGCTAATTAGATCCCACAAAAATCAAATCTGACTGCCAAAACATGTTGCCTGACTGTGGCGCATACCATATACCTCTGGCCTGCCAGAAAATAAAGTTCGAGTTTTTCACATTTTAGGGAACATGTCTAAGCATTTTAATCATAATAACTTACCAAACTTAGACAGTTAAAGAATGACTGTAAGCACACTAGAGTTATATAACTAACACTTTCTACTATAAGGCACTAAGACAACAGTTGTGAAATTACTTTTAGTACGATAAGCAGTATAATAGATTCAAACTGATATTCTTCTCCTGCTAAATTGTTAAATCTTTCCAGTAAGTATCTTTATCAAATACGTTTCGCTTTTCTTACCCTTTTATGCTGTGCTTTTATCACTGCACTGCTTAGAGAAAACGGTCGACAAAAGTAGGGCGGGCCTGGGTGGGCAGTGTTACCGTCACTCTTTTTACTGAATGAGTAAGAGTAATCATTTATCTGAACTATAACATATAATACAATCCGCCGTTCTTAGGATTTTCTTTCTCACTGAGCGAAGGCTGCAAGAGGATCAAGAAAAGAACAATAATATATCGTGATGGACATTATATAATAAAACTCGCTGCCTCCCACTAACTCGCACTTTGTCTCTTTATACTCGATTGCTTACGTGTTCAATTCTCACGCTTCTATAGTGCGCTGCTGAATCCACTTGCTTATCGGGCGCCTGCATATGCACGACCTTCGAGGGTTTTCAGGCGCAGGCAACATTCCCAGTGGGGGTCAGGCCGTTGAGTGTCGCAGTGGGCGACTTCGACGAAGATGGCATTCTTGATATCGTGACTGCTGATCCCGGCAGTAGTTCAGTGAGTGTCTTGCTTGGAGATGGATTGGGGAGCTTTCAGCCACAGGCCTCATTCCCGTGGGGACCATTCCGTTTGGTGTCGCAGTGGGCGATTTCAACGAAGATGACTATCTCGATATCGTGACTGCAGATGTTGGCGACAACACAGTGAGCATCTTGCTTGGAGATGGACTGGGGAGCTTCCAGCCGCAGGCCACATTCCCCGTGGGGACCAGTTCGTATAGTGTCGCAGTGGGCGATTTCAACGGAGATGACTATCTCGATATCGTGACTGCGAATCTCAACGACAACACAGTGAGTGTCTTGCTTGGGAAGCCTTGCGATCCTTAAAACTGCCCTGGGGATCGAGGACCGAGTATATCCATGGATGTATCATACTCTTTGTGACATGATGCAGGTTTTCCCATGGGAGTTTTGGACGCGGCTTAGAACTTGGGACGCAGTTTGAGAATTCTGCTTAGAACGTGCTTTGGAATTTGCTTTCGGAACCCTCCATCCATGTTCTCTGAAACCTTTAGGACTTGAGGCTTCGATACTAATTTTCAACTCCATGCGGTCTGGACCCACATCACCACTTATCGGCTCGGTGGTTTAAAGTAGTTAGTGGCTTAGCTATGTTGAAAATTTGATATCTCACACTTCAGGCCTGGAGACTCTCTGGTCATCCAAAGGCGATTTTCCGCCTAGGAAAAAAAAAGATTTGTCGCCTCGGTGAGTATGGATACATTGCAGCATTTCCGTCCGGTGCGTGGTCCACTTCTGGCATCGAATGAGGAAGTGCTCCACGGTCTTTCTTACTTTTCCACATGCACATTGATCCGTCTCTGCGACGTTGATCCGATAGAGATATCCATTTAGTATAGCCATGCCAGTCCGGAGTTGGGCCAGCACGCTCGCTTCTTTCCACGATAATCGATCGTACAGCTTCCAAGTGTGTTTCCCTGGGAGTGCTGCATCCACTCTTTTGGCGTGTCGCCCTACGTTCTCTGGTAGGCCTTTGCTGGTTGCTGGTTGGGATCATCGTAAGCTGGGACTGAAGACCTTCTCTGTCACGCAGGGCGCAAGAGCAGAGCAGAATCCATACTCCGGGGAGCTGGCTGCAATGGCACTCGCATTGAGTACGTTAGCGGGATTGAAACATTACAAAATCACCCTGCTCACAAGCAACAAAACAGCGGCACTCACGCTGCAGAACCCTCGACAACAGTCAGGCCAAGAATGCGTCTGTCATATATACAAATTGATGAGAAGGCTACGGAGACCCGGAAACTGGATCCATATCCTCTTGGTCCCCACGAGAGAGATAAACTCGTAAATTTCCTGCTCGCGAAAGGAGCGGAGGTCAATGTCCAAGGTGGATTTTTTGGAAATGCTCTCCAGGCTGCGTCTTCCAAAAGACACTATAGGATCGTGCAGTTACTGCTCGAGAAAGGAGCGGAGGTCAATGCCCAAGGTGGAGAGTATGGAAATGCACTCCAGGCTGCGTCTTCCAAAGGACACGATAGGATTGTGCAGTTACTGCTCGAGAAAGGAGCGGAGGTTAATGCCCAAGATTGGTACCTTCGAAATCCTCTCCGAACTGAGTGTGTCTGAGAGCAACGCACTCTTGTAGAAATCGTCGAGCACATCTAAGTACGATTTTGTCCAAATTCCTCCCTCTTTCTCACGAGATCTGAAACTTGTTCTAGTGTCTGGATTTCTATACCACTTAGCCAAAAAGAGACCACAATATCAAAGCTCTTGCCTTAGTATTTCCAGACTACATATATAAAGGATTATAGGTACATAGCACGCCAGTATACGGGAATGCCGTTTCAAGATCGAAGCTTCTATGACCTCTAGAATTTTCTAGCCCAATGAATTGCTATTATTTACATATCGTTGTACCTTGCTAAACATACATGCAAAACTAGTCGTCTTTATTAATGAGTCGAGGAAATATGTTTCGTCAACTCATTATTAGGAGCTATTTTGGTTATTGACTTATAATTTCTTTTTTGCTATCGCACTTATGCTGGGGATTCTTACAAGGCTGTACTAGGAACACAGTTGTTATGTAAGTAATCTGTATTGTAAGGTATTTGTATCGTCAGACCAGTGACCTCTATCTATCCTCGTAACGGTAGTGGAGTAAACGTCTCTTGGCAGTGGGGCCTGGGAGAAGAAAAGCAGTCTGTGGGGTAGAAGCCGTTTTCGCTATCGACTGTAGAGCCAACCATTTCCGCAAAGATAGCTGCGGAAAATTTGAATGGCGAGGCCGGCCCTTCGATTGCTGCTTCAGTGGAAATTTTCAAATCACCGGCGTGAAAACCGTTTCTCATTTGTCAACAACGCTGATGAGGCATTTTATTTGCCAGGCCTAGACCCAGGAAAGCCAAAGTTCCAGGTGGATCCAGCCACTCCACCCGCTCTCCAACCCGAACTCTTGAAAATTCTTATTTCAACGTTGAATCAACCGCCTCAACGCACAGCAAAATGCAGTCGCACGGTGCGAATGTCGAGTGGATGGAACGATGTACGCAAGTGGTCGCTGCCGAGAAACGTAATATCCTAAATGACATAAAAGACGCTCTTTTCCCGTCGAGAAGAAAAGCAGGGTTTCTCCTCACACTCCGGAGCACTCGGGTGTTCTTCGCAGGATAAGATCTGTGTTACCAAAAAGTCTTCGCGGGAAAGGCCCCGCGTTATCAAGTGTGCCTCGCAGGGGGACGCTGCGTTACCAAGGGAGACTCGCAGGAGAGTGCTGCGTCAACAAGTTCTCCCTCACAGCCAATGAGCCCTGTGTTGTATAAATGTGCTCCACGGGGACCTCTGCGACATCAAGAGCCTCCGCAGGAGACCGCTGCGACACCAAGTTCTCCCTCACAGCCTTGAGCCCTGTGATTGTATAATTTTGAGCTTCCATGCAGCCTTGAGCCCTGCGTTATCAAATTTGCGCTTGTTAGGCGACCCGTGGCGCCGCGATCCTCGTCCTGATCCTCTGGCGATTGCAGGCACCTCTTTGTGGTGTCAGAGACTAGTATTCGCGGGTCCTCGAAGAAGCCAAGACCTGCTCTAAAAAATTGATAGAATCAATAACCCTCCGGGGTGCTTTGTGTGTTATGCCATTTGGCCTATTTGTAGAGTTCAATATCCATGTTTCTTGCTCGCGTAAAGTTTTATGTAGACTTGAATCACACCCTGTCTTTCGACAATGGGAATTTTCTTCAACGTAATCCGAAGTAGGGCACTGAGTCATCGGGCCAGTTGGATCTCAGTGTATGATAGCTAAGTGGCCGATCTGGGCGACGGGTGCAATCCAAAGTAGTCTCCATTTGTGTGTATGCTTCTCTCTGCTGGCTACGAGTGGTGGCAGCAGTTGTCTCGACGTGGTGAGATGCGGGCTTTCGACAGTGAGTGGGTAGTGTGTTGGCGTGCTGATGGTGAAGGCGTGTTGATGGTGGGGACATATTGATAGCGAGGACGCGTTGATGGTGAGAGCCGGAGGTGAGTGACGTTTGAGGGTTGGTGATGATCATGATCGATGGAACCAGTGAGTCAGCAGCTTAACTTAATCACAATATGCCACTCCCTTTCCAATTCCTTGCCCGCCCGGAGCTATGTGAAGCTTTTCGGTATATTCGTCTATCAAAGGAAATGCCTCCACTTCTTACCCCCAAAGCTGCAAGACGTCGTCTCGAAGCAATCGTTCGAACAGACCAAGAAAAGGTCCTCTCCCTATTGCCGACCGGTGCAAAACTCTCGATTGCACTTGACTGTTGGGCATCTCCATTCCATCAGGCTTTCATGGCTATCACTTGCTATTTTGTAGATTCTGAATGGAATTATCATGAGATCCTTCTTGGATTTGAACCAATATATGGTCAACATACTGGTACTCATCTTAGTGCAGTGTTGCAAAGGGTGCTACATCAACATAAGATCATTGATCGAACCCTTGCAGTGACTATTGTTAACGCGTCAAACAACAAGACGCTGGTTGAAAGCCTCCATCAATCAATCGAAGCTCTAAGTTTTCAAGCAACACACGCATTTTGCGAATCCCATGTCTTGCGCATGTTATCCAGCTTAGCTTGAAGGATCTGCTCGGACTGATGAAAGCCAATCCTAACAATGACACTACTCACACAGTATGGGCAGAGGAAAATCATGGCTTTGCACTACGAAGGACGGGATCTGAAGAAGGTATGATCTATACAGTACGTCCCGAAACTGGTGCAACCGCCTACACTCTTTCAGTAATTATTTAGCCCCACTGCCAAGAAGCACGAGACTATATTAGGAAGACACTCGGAATAAAAATATTCCTGTACCAGTCTCGATACCGTGCTTTACTTTTATTAAAATACGGTGCCTTGTCTTGTAACTGTATGAGTGATCTACATTTTCCATGGAGATACAAACAAGTCAAACACCAGAGCTGGGGAGCGCCTCGGGAGTCTGGCGACCTGTCACTTCCCTTCTGCTCCTATGTCTAAGTCAGTCTTGGGGGCTTACTCGGCACGGACCTGCAAATAGTGACTTGCATTACTGTCCTTACAGACTACCCATGAACCCGCTTATTATAATACTCAGCCTGTCAGCCACAGTCCTCTCTTCTTCATGCCCCGGAACACACTTGGTGGAAGCTGACACAACCATGTTAATAGACTCCTCAGTGGCATCTTCTGCCTTGGGGGGGATGACTCACACTCCTTTCAACGATAATGATGACGATGATACTTACCGACCTGAACTGCCTAATCTATAGGAAAGGACTCCCTCGTATACCCCCACCCCTGGTTACCCAGACTGGGAATAGACGCCATTAGTAATCTGCCCTTCACCTGATTCCGAGGACATAGTTGGTAAATGTTTACCTTCCTTGTATCAATATCTACCGGACCAGCAGAGCTTTGATTTTATGGTTGAACGTATAGATAGAAGTGCATAGGATGCTTCCAGAAAACGTGCGCGAAATTAATCAAGGTTCGCATTTGTTGTCGCAATACGGTATGGCTCCCGCAGGAGGCTCGGAAACCTTTGCCAAGACCAGTAAGGTCCAAGAATAATTTTTGCCTCATAATCATTTTATGAGCATCCTTAAAAGGCATAACAAGTTTTAACAGAAAGCTTTTCTCTTCATTACTATATATTTACAAACTCATATACTTCCTTACGCGCCACCAGAAACGAGCATAGGAAATAACTATTGTAAGATGGGAATGCTCGCTGGCAGTCTGTCAAGCAGATGGGTCGATCACAAGAAGACAAAACCACCACACTCGCAGAGTGCAGGAGAGTAGTAGACAGAGCGTGACGCTATAGAGAAGCGACTAGTAAGACATTCGAGTCTTCATGGACATGCGATACACCGATACCGCAACCTCAGCCTCATCAGACTGCGCAGAAAGAATAATTCATAAGGGGGAACATGCATGTTGTTATTGATACTATCGAACGAACGCTACTTAATCTCACGAAACAAAGTGGCAGCCTTGTTGTTAAGGCCTCAGTCACATGACTACAGGGTACCGATGTTGAGAGCGGAATTCCCCATTACACTATGTTATTTCAGAGAGGGGTGGAGTGGTCGAAAATCGACACAAAGTCCACGCTGCAGTCGTCGATGTGACCGGAAAAACTCCTCTTCTGTGTCGGTGATCCATTACGAATGACGCTTATTCGTTCCACGGCAAAGCCAGTGCAAGCTTTGACTGTCATTGAGACTGGTGGTCTCAGTCAGTTCAAGTTTGACGACGCCGACCTGGCCTTAATGTGCGCGTCGCATAGCAGCGAGGAACAACACATTGCTCTGAGAGAGAAGGATGAATTATCACAGGATTCGAAGTATGCGATACCCCGGACTCTCGAGGCCGATTCATGGACGAATCCCCTTTGAGTCACCTGCATATCGATATCCAGCAGCCTACCCTTATTATTCTTAATACGTTCTCTATTATCGATAGGGTTAGTTATACATAAATTATAAAGGTATTCTTGGTCTAGTGTTTCAGATTATACTAAAGCTGTTTACTATTTACTAACCGTTACTTACAATTATATTTATTTATTACTTACTAATCGTGATATTCCCGATATTCTCATATATTACTCCTGCCTAGAAACCGGAATTCTTTTCGCCGTAGGAAATAGTAGTCAACACAGCTATTGTGCAAGAGTTTTGAGGAGGCTCAAATCTACGCTTAGATCTCCCAGTCCCCAGTCTACCCCGCTATCAGATGATCTGCCTAGAAACAGAAGAAATCAACCGCCTTGACCTTATACCCCATATTTGCCCTAAGGGACGAAATATCCTTTTATTTGCACCATTCACGGTTTAGATCAGCGGACATAGCCATATCTCCTTAAAGTTGTCGCGGAATACCAGAGCTTCGATCAACCTGATGAACCAAGAGCCAACCGTACCGTAACAATTGTATCTGTGTTTCAGGAAAGTTACAGCACTACCAAGCCTGTAATTTAGTGTTACAAACCGTTTCAAGATTCCATAACAGACTAGACCTATTTGGGACTAGCGTGTTTCAGAATAAAGTTCAGAAAAGAAAAGAAAAGAAAACAGAGGTGAAGCTGATTTCGAGCGGTCCTGTACACTTGCAAAGGTAAGTCTTATTAATTCTGGCAGCCGTCCGAATTATCTCTTTATCTCAGTCACTGTGGTCTTTAACATATCTAATCAAACTCACAGATTCGCAGTTTTGCTATATTTATCAACGCTAGCCCTCAACGAAGGGAGCTCTTTTTAAATCTCCAGGAAACTGAGCTGAAGCTTGCACCAATACAGGATGTTCGAACTCGCTGGAACTCAACGTACCTGATGCTTCGAAGGGCAAACCGTCTCTCTCAAACATTTAATTAATACTGTTTGGTCCATAACCAGCGTCAATTTCAGCTAAGCACACAAGAGTGGCGACAGGTTGATTACTTGCTTTGCATCACAAAGCCCTTTTACCCCTGGACTGTTGGACTCTCGAAGATCAAGTAAGTTACTATACACTCAGTCTTTGAGGTATACAATGTGCTATTTCGCCATTTTGAAGACGCACAACGTCTACTCGCTCAAAAGAGAGTTCCTTGGAAGCAGACTATGCTTTCTGCATTGAAATCAGGAGAGCGGAAGCTTTCAGCTTACTACCGTGATACTGAGGAGACTCATGGACATCTTTATGCAATGGGGACGATTCTATCCCCTTTGCTTAAGCTGGACTATTTTAAGGGTGAGGACTGGGTTGGAGATGATCAAGATTGGTATCATGAGTATTAAAACTCCTTACATACTTATCTTAAAGAGTACTTCCAGCGTCGGCCAACAGCTCCAGCAGTGGATAAATGTTGAAGAGATGAGGTTCAATATGTATATAGTAAAAGGAGTAAATAGAGGGAAATTCATATCTAAGCATTTTAAAAAGTTTGAAATGGTTTTGATCATTTTCGTGTAAAATGAATACTCTAAGAATATAGGACTTTCCTACATAATTTATGCCAAACCCGTGACTTGCCACATCTGGCATTGTTTGCATTACTTACAGTGCTACAGCACTCCGGCCAAGGTTCTGCTGCACCGAACTTGTCAAGGCCTAGCTATAGACAGATTTCGGGAGAAAAAGCAGGATCAACTGGGATTCGACGCGACACGCAGAGATTTGGAGCCACTATCGCTAGGTTGCTCAAGCTGCAGATGGTGCCCCAAAGATTATGTGCCAGCGTTGTGGAACTATTTTGAAGCACCCTCACACTGTCAATCCACAGGCAAAGGGCAAGGTACAATATCCTGGCATATCAACAATGCAGAAGCACCTTATGAGCGAGGGAAGAGAGTAGAGATAACTAGATCTCTAAAAAATGGCGTATATTCCTTTAGTCCCTCCAGTTTTTCTGGTATAAACCACTCATAGCTATTGCTGCTTTGCTAACTTATGCCCAATCGCTGGTCAAGTTGCCCTATCAGCTGATACAGGTGGGCGCTTAAGTGCTGCACATTTTCGCCCCTAATCCTTTTGACTGATGGCGAGGCATCTCCGCGGTCGCTATCATTACTATTCACTCTGGAAATCTAGGGGTCTATAGTATGCTGCTGAAAATCCGGCAAATTTACCCGGTGATTAGAATGGAGCTATACATGCTCCTAGCCTAGCCGTTGTACTTTGGGGAATACCCCATCAAACCTTGATACTTTGTAATTTTGTACCTGTATTTCTAACTACTTATAGGCTTGGCCGGGAGCACACACGGGGGACCAATCAGATCCTATATAGCTCTATTCTGATTACCGGATAAATTTGCCGGAATTTCAGTAGCATACCATAAACCCCTGGACTTCCAGAAAAGGTAAATTATTCACATTCCAGGAAACATATCTAAGCGCTCTATTCATAATAGTAAACCTAGATAGTCAATCAATGACCGTAGGCATACTGTATATATCAGTCTCCACAGACAGATAAGACCGACTTTTTCTAGTAAAACCAGCAGTACGACAGCTTCTAACCGATATTCTTTCTCTACTAATTTTGTGTTGATCGTTTTCAACGAAAGCCCCTGTCAAGATGCGTTTCGCCCTTCTCACCCTTTTGTGCTGCGCTGTTGTCACTGCGCTCCCTGGAAAAGATGCACCAGAAAAACATGGCGGGCCTAGGCATGGGGGCAAGGTGTCCCATGGGGGGGGGTAATAATATTGGTAATGGGGATGGTGGTGGGATTGCTATTGACACTGGAGGTGGTGACATTGGGGACATTGGAGTTGGGATTGGGGGTGGTGGGGGTGTCTGCGATCCAGCCGCCTGTGACTCTCAGGTACGATACTTTTATGGATGTCCGAAGAGATTACATAAATACTGACAAGCTGTTCTATTCAAGTGTCGAAAATTAGGGCATCAATCTGGTTCTTGCGATAACGGGAGTGGATCTCCTAGTTTGCTTGGACTTATCATTGGACAAACTACGCCGTTAGTCGCTTTCTTGGTCGTCTTAGGACTAGAGAGCCGTTTGAAAGCTGATATGAAATAGGAGCTGCATATGTACACCAACAACAGGCTGTGATAACTCGTCTTCCTGCAATGGACAATGTGTAAGGCACCCAGACTGCATATTTTGTGACGACCACTAAGCGAGGCTCGATAGTGCGCATCCGGCCTGACCTGTTGCAATGGAGCCTGCACCGACCTCCAGAACACTCCTAGTAACTGTGGTACTTGTGGAAATATTGTAAGTTATCCTGACCTTCAAGCCTACAAGTTTACCATTGTGTCGATGTTCTTATTGCTAACATGATCAATTCTCACGCTTCTACAGTGTCCTGCTGGATCGACCTGCTCATCTGGCGCCTGCAAATGTGCGAGTTTCCAGCCGCAGGCCACATTCGGTACGGGTGCCTTACCGCACGGGGTTGCAGTGGGCGACTTCAACGGAGATGGCCATCTCGATATTGTGGCTGCTAATACCGGCGACAATTCAGTGAGCGTCTTGCTTAGCACTGGATCGGGGACTTTCCAGCCGCAGGTGACATTCGGCACAGGGAGCGAACCGCGCGGGGTTGCAGTGGGCGACTTCAACGGAGATGGCCATCTCGATATTGTGGCTGCGAACTACAACGGTGCTACGGTGAGCGTCTTGCTCGGTACAGGGTCCGGGTCCTTCCAGCCGCAGGTCTCATTCGGGGTGGGAGATTTGCCGTATGGTGTTGCAGTAGGAGACTTCAACGGAGATGGCCATCTCGATATCGTGGCTGCGAATACCGGCGACAATACAGTGAGCGTCTTGCTCGGCACTGGATCCGGGAACTTCCTGGTGCAAGCCACATTCAGCGTGGGGTCCACTCCCGACGATGTTGCAGTAGGCGACTTCAACGGAGATGGCCATCTCGATATTGTGGCTGCGAATACCGGCGGTAATTCAGTGAGCATCTTGCTCGGTACTGGATCTGGGACCTTCCTAGCGCAAGCCACATTCCCGTGGGGTCCCAGCCGGGTTGGGTCGCAGTAGGCGACTTCAACGGAGATGGCCATCTCGATATTGTCACTTCGAATTTCCAGGACGATACAGTGAGCGTCTTGCTCGGAACTGGATCCGGAACCTTCCAGGCGCAGGTAATATTCCCCGTGGGGGACGCACCGCATGATGTTGCCGTAGGCGACTTCAACGGAGATGGCTATCTTGATATTGTGACCACGAATATCTTCGGCAATACAGTGAGCGTCTTGCTCGGAACTGGATCCGGAACCTTCCTGACGCAGGCCACGTTCTCCGTGGGGTCCAGTCCCGACGGCGTTGCAGTAGGCGACTTCAACGGAGATGGCTATCTCGATATCGTGGCTGCTAATCTCGACGGCAATTCAGTGAGCGTCTTGCTCGGGAAGCCTTGCGGCGCTTAGAACCGCCAGAGGGATCGTGGACCAGGTATATGCAAGGCGGTCTCATACTCTTTGTAGCATATTGGAGGTTTTCCTGGAGGAGTTTCGGAAGCCTGTTAGGACTTCGGACTCATTTGGAAGTTTTATTTGGGAACAATGTTCAATATTGACATCTAATTTTTTTTTTTGTGAAATTAGGGGAAAATAGGAAGACAAATCACAGCTACAGTATCTGTCCTCTACTATGCTCTTTCCCTTAAGCCATCTTAGCAAATACACCAGCTTTATACCGGGTTCTGAGCACAGCTGTTCTATTCAGTCCGAGCGATGAAAGAATGCGTTGTCCATGACTATCAAGGACTTCGGCTCGGGCCACTTTGCTACTGTATCTGCCGAGAATAATGAGCCAATCGGTGCCATGAATGGCCCACATGCACCACATAGCCTCGACTGAAATGGTTGGTCCAAGATTGGCTATGAGCTCCTAGAACCTAGGGCTACCATTCTACCTGTTATCATTGGACGGCGCTGATACAATGATATCCACAAAGTACCCATGTCTCCACTCTTATGAGCCCGAGATAGAAACGACATTACATGCTGGCCGTTGAGATTCAGATGTAGCCTTTGCGGATATATTCAAACTACAAACATTTTGACTAGACCAGATCAAACTCTACCATATATTCAAGGAGTAATCAATCAGAGTACAAAACAAATAGCCGGACGGGGTCTCGTAAAAGACCCCTGCCAGAACTCGTTGTTCAAAAAAAGTTGTACTGTATCAATTACGGAGGAATTTTAAAATGAGATAATATCTTGGGGTTTCTGCTGACAGTGCCTCATGGCCATCAAATAGAGTTTTAAAGAATAGTTCCTTCACCATCAGCGTCCAGACAATTGCTGCTTTTTGGCGTCCTCCAGCTCTTCCATCACCTTATCATACGCATGGTACAAGGTCCATGAACACGCTATAGCTCGATTATAAAACCCCCCTGAGATCGCTTGACCGATCTCAATCAATCAATCAATCTCGTTATTCTAAATTGATTCCGCTTGGTCTCATTCGTCCTGAATGCGTACTACTTCGTACAGTATTAGCCTGTTCTGATAGATTACCGAGAAAGGGTTCCGTGGGTTTTGTGGACCATCACTGTGAATACAAATTGTATCGTTTTTACACTTGTATCGTTAATACACCCAAAATTTCTACGCCCTACTGTAAAGATCATCGTCCCTCGGTACGGAACATCTTTCATGAAAGTTATGGATAAACTAGTCTCGAATTCTACTGAGATCAAAACGGAACTTTCCCCAGAACAAGAATCTTTGCAAATGAGATTCATTTCCCCATCTTTGTTCAGCGAGTTCATGCCACCATTATCTCAATACTATAAGTTACTTTATTGAGAATATAGCACGATGAGCTATGGTTAACAGCCTAAGGATGATTTCCATACGCAGTAATTCCCCATAAGCAGTAGTTCTCCATACGCAGCAGCTCTCCAGACAGAAACGGGCTCCGTAGAAGAAGGCTCAGTCAGGAATAGATTCCCCTGATCCTCAGCCGATAACGAGCCGTGACTAACATAAGCTAACAAGGTAACTATCCCATACCAACTCTTACTAGCGCACCCTACTAACGTCTCAATGGGACCCTCTCCATCTGACCTCTGCTGCTACATAACTACGTTACAGGTAAGGGAGCCTGATGAGCATGCCGGTTCAGATTCAGCAGAGCACTATCGTAGCGTGAGAATTGACCACGTTAGCAACAATAACATCGAGTGAATAGCAAATCTCTTAAAGTGCGAAGGCTAGGCTGAACTCACAGTGTTCCCACAACTTCCACAGTTGCTTGGATCGTTATCGAGGTCGGTACAGGCTCCATTGCAACAGGTCAGGCCGGATGCGCACTATCGAGCACCAATTAGTCGTCGTCCTAAAATGTAGTCCGCGGCCGCCTTACACATTGCCCGTTACAAGAAGATGATGGAGGATCACAATCAGGCGGGTTTGGGATGCAGATGCAGTTTCTATTTCATATCAGCTTTCAGATGGCTCTGCAATCCCAAGATGATCGAGGAAGAGACTAACGGCGTAGTTTGTCCAAGGACAAGTCCAAGTAAACTGGGAGATCCGCTACCGTTGTCGCAGTAGCCAGATTGATCACCTAATCTTCGACACTATAATGAATCAATATGTTAGTATTAACAACCTCTTTGGATATTCATAAACCTTACCTTGGTGTCACAAGCAGCCGGGTCGCAAATTACCCCACCTCCACCCCCTCCACCCCCAACCCCAACCCCAATGTCTCCAATGTCACCACCCCCAGTGTCAATGTCAATCCCACCACCATCCCCATTGCCAATATTATTACCCCCGTGGGAAATGCCTCCACCTCTAGGTCCACCCCACTTTTCCCGGGCATCTTCTCCGGAGAGCGCAGTGACAACAGCACAGCACGAAAGGGTTAGAAGAGCGAAACGCATTTTTTCAGAGGCGTTTGCTTCAAACTATAAAAAGCCTGCTAGGAAAAGAACCTCAGTTTGAACCGGTCGTAATGGTCGTGGTAAGGACAACAAAGCTGTTTAGCCCTTAGTGGAGGGTGTTTATACATAGAGTGCTTACGGTCAATCTTTCACTGTCTAAGTTTTGTTATTTTGATTAAAATGCTTAGACATGTTCCCTGGAATGTTAATAGCTTCAATTCTCTGGAAGGTCAAGGGTTTATGGTATGTGCACAGAGTCCGGCAGAATGTTCCGGCAACTTGAATCGAGTTACGTGGGATCTGATTAGCCCTCTGTAGCGTCTTTGTGTCAATGCGACTTGGGCTTGCTTGATATATTATAGTGAAAACGTAATATGTGCCCATACCAGGAGGGGGGTCGGCCCTAAAAAATAACTGTCAACATTGGAAGCGGATCCGACCGCACGTTCCTATACACTTTCAGGCCTAACGCGACAGGAGGCCAAGACTACCGCCCTTACGTATACAACGTTCTAGGGCGCTTAGGAATGATGATATATCCGGCGTTTATAAATCATAATAATGTACGCTTCTAGCAGACGGAGGTTACTACCAGCCTTATACCTACGATCATAGACATAGTTAGGGGCACATACAAGCCTAATGGCTATCCCTCGAGATATACTCTAGGACTCTCTGGGACTAGTCGATCAAAAGAATGTTACTTGTTACTCCGTATAACTAGGGAAAACGTGAGAGATTTACATTCTAAAAAATCCCCTCCGCAGGAATACAACTCGGGTTAAGAAATTCAGCAGATACCACCGTTCGCCGTTGTATCAGGTAGCAGACGCGCTGAAGAACATAGAGATGGAAACACTGGAGACCATCAATCCGTTTACATTAGCACCATGGGAGGAAAACGTGTGCAGAGCTCTGATCATGAAATTCCAGAGACACCGACCGAAGCAGGCGAAGTCATGTAGATCGCGGTCAGTAGATGCGATGTTTAGGGTGGTTGACTTCGTTCTGGGGAGCTGTGCTTGCGGGGTGGCATCCTCTTGCGTCGCGGCTCTGGCCTGCTCTTTAGCCACACCCAACAGCTTGTGGCCTCTCGTGTCCTTTGGAAGACGCAGCTTGGAGAGAACTCCCATAGCGTCCACCTTGGGCATTGACCTCAGCTCCTTTCTCAAGCAGTAACAGCACGATGTTATCGTGTCCTTCGGAAGACGCAGCTTGGAGAGCATTTCCATACTGTCCACCTTGAGCATTGACCTCAGCCCCATTCTTGAGCAGTAAATGCACGATCTTATCATTACCTTCGTAAGACGCAGACTGGAGAGAACTCCCATAGCGTGCGTCTTGAGCATTGACCTCAGCTCCTTTCTCAAGCAGTAACTGCACGACCATATCGTGTCCTTCGAAAGACGCAGCTCGGAGAGGATTTCCATACTTTCCACCTTGAGCATTGACCTCCGCTCCTTTCTCGAGCAGTAACTGCACAATCCTATCGTGTCCTTTGGAAGACGCAGCCTGGAGTGCATTTCCATACTCTCCACCTTGGGCATTGACCTCCGCTCCTTTCTCGAGCAGTAACTGCACTACTTTCTCATAACCATTCTGGGAGTCCGAGATAATAGGATAGCTTGCGGTACCATCGATCGAATTGATATCTTTCCCCCCAAGAGACAGTAGAAACTCAACCTCGCGCTCATGCCCAATAAATGATGCCAGATGTAAAGCAGTCATTGACGGCGGAAAATTCCAACGGTCGATAGACCTCCAAAAAACATGATACCACAATGAAAATCCATTTCTACTCATATCGTACATTTGCCGTATTTGATTGGTCGCCTTTTGGTCCTGGGCCACACTCATTCTTCGTCTGTGGTCTGGCCAATATGAAGCGGAATAATCTAGAAAGCTTCCATTGTTAGAGCGAGAATAGTATTTTTCATTTTCCAGATCCTCCATCAGTAGGTATCGCAAACATATAACAGCCATCTGATCCTCAGTGTCAGTTAAGGTCCACGAGTATAAGCAGCTGTCGTTGTCAGAACTTCTCTTCTTCACAAGAAATTCCCTTGCTGTCTGATGAATCAAGTAAATCTTGGAGTTGTTGACGAAAACAAAAAGGCCACATAATCGACGCAGCTTTTTTTTCGATCTGCGATGAATCAAGCCCAGCCTTTGCTGCAGTTCGGGCCTGTGGGGAAGTGGCTATACCGAGAGCCATGGCCATTTCCGCCGTCGTTAGAGGGCGCCGTGCTGCAACGATAATTTGTAAGATCTTCTTCGTAATGCCCATTTGATGGGATTGTACTCGGCTAAGAATCTTCTCGTATGCCTCTTCTATGGATCGAGGTATCAACTGGATTCGCTCCTCAGCCGGGCGAAGGCTGTCCTCGAGTGTAGATTGAATATCATCCATGGCTAAATGTAGCCAGAGATACGTACGGTGCTCCATCTGCAGAAGCTGTTGCTCCAGTCGCTGCTCTGTGTCCCTTGACAACTTTACTCTTCCAGCAAGCTCCTTCACTCGTATCTTCACGACAAGATCAATTTCTTGGTGGATCTGGTCATTTTGCTTCTCTCCTTCTATATGGAGATGTGGGAAAGTGTCCGTGATCGCTCGGAAACTATTCTGGATATCATCATAGGGGCGACTAGTGACCAGGAATCTCAACCAAGTATCTTGTGTCAGCGGACGTGACAGACGGTGAAAAGACCATAGTTTCTGAATTAGTCGATTTTGATCAATTCCGCGGCATTCATCAAGCGCATCGAATATGCAGACTGTCTTACAATAATTATCAGATAATACGGCGGTTGTAAAAATTCTCCACAGTTCGTCAACCTCTTGCCGAAGCTTCTCCCCATTGTTCCCCCGAGGTGGTAAGGCATGACACAAGAGCTGAGGCCGCTGGCTGAAAAGCTGATGGAGTACCGAGCAAAGTTCTGAAGCAAGTTGATTCTGTTCATCGTTATCTTTGAAGAAAAAGTAACAGACTGTCACTTCAGGGCTAGAAATTTCGCAGAAGTCTTCGATTATCGATCGGGAAAGTACAGACTTCCCACAGCCTGGGTCGGCCGGCACCCAGAGAAGATCGTTGCAGCTGCTACTCGACCAAGGGATATACTCAGGGCTCTGTGGAGCCCATAGGCAGGTTCCCTCCACTTTTCTCGGATTGATGTTTTTTTGCTCCTCATAAGTTGATATTTTGAATGTTTGGAGACAGCGGTGTTGCTGATCCGTTAAAGCAAACGCGACATTCTCGCGATGATGTTGTTCTTGTTGACTGTATGCTTGGTCTAGGCGTTGATTTGTGCCTTCAATTTCGACCTTCAACCCGTCTGCAGAGAGCTTTATAAATGATCCATCCTTAATCTAAGAAAAGCTAAGCTAGGATTGGTTTCACTTACTGCATATATCTACTACCAAGCTCTCTTGTGAAACATGGCCAACAGGGACATAGCCTAACAGCTCCTTTGTATATGCTGCGGCTGCTAGGGCAGCATACCCATGCCATTCCTTGTTCTTGTGGGAGTCGGCATAGTCACAAACTCCGCGGATGACAATGCAGGGAAAGTCCAACATCAGACCGGCCGCCTCCATCTCAAAGCACAATGCCTCAAGTCTCCAAGCGAAGTTGCTCTCTTGTGCGCCCATGTTTGATGACTTTATTACCAGAAGCAATGACACCGTAATGGGGCTGTGGATCATTGTCCTCGCGTTCAGCTCTGGTCTCTTCCCACTCTGCTTGACATCTATCACAGCTGCTTGCACCAGCAGGATGATCATATCCCGCCTGGAAGAGCCGATCAGACTGCGTAGTAGGTTGGCCAAAATTCTTTCGAGTTCGAGCGATTCTTCCGATGGAGTTTTGGAGATAGTTCGGGTAGCGGGGGTCATCCCTCAGCGCGGCAGCTCTCATGGTGCTAACAGCGGTTAGTAGTGCCCTCGGCGGACTGTCCAACGTGCCAGTTCGTTCGAATTGGCCATCTGCGATAATCTTGCCCATATCATATTGAATTACCCCACCGCAAGTGCCTTGGGGGTAGCTAATCACAACATCGCCGAGGCGGATATCGTGAGCAGCTGAAGGAATTCCGCCCCCAATACCGACAATCAGTCCGATTCGAAGTGACTTGGAGAAGGTGTGAAACATGTTGTTTGCGACCGTGGTAGCAGCGGTGGTTCCGTGGTGGCCTCCAGGAAGGCAGGCGATCACGACGTAAAGCTTGTCGATTCGGCCCAACGTGTAGGTATTCGAGTCCGCTGCGGCTTGCTCCTCGAGAATCCCAAACTCCTCATCGAGCATTTCGGCGGCAGCTGCAGCTTCGATCGGAAGAGCACATATCCAGCCAATTTAGAAGGCATCTCGTGGGGGAGGGGCCATGTGGAAGGTCTAGCGTGGTTTCGCGAGAGGAATAGTGCATTGACGAGACTATCAGGAAAACCTGATTAGTGACAAAGGTTGGCAGGCCCTTGAGTAAGAGCCCCATTGCGTGTCAGACAGTAGCAGCCCCGCCCCAGCAGAAGGGGCTCAGCCCCGGCTGAGGGAGCAGCATGGCGCGGCAGTCGAGCGAATGTTATTAGAGAAAGAGACGTCGCACGTGACAATATGGTCCGTGACCGACTGCAACAACGAACCCCGTCAGCAGTGATGGCTGCAGCACCGCTGGGTAGATATGGCACCAACACTTGAACCATGGCGACTAGAGCTCATTCGTGACATGATACAAGACTCAATCGTATACTAACGCAGAAATAGCCCAAGCTGCCCATTGCACCCCGCGATCAATCAGCACTTTCCGCTCGAACCTACGATGCTTTGGAAGTGTCAGGGCCCCTGCCAACAGTATTGGACGACGACGGACGATCACGACTTGTCATGGACAATGCCTCTTTCCATCGTACGGAGGGTATTCGGCAAATTTGTTCCGCTGCCGGGGTCAAATTGGTGTATTTACCACCCTACTCTCCCGATCTAAACCCCATTGAGGAGTTCTTTGTTGAGCTGAAGGCTTTCATTAAACGGCATTGGCTGACGTATGAAGAGAATCCGGGTCAGGGTTTCAGTACATACCTCGAATGGTGTGTTGATATAGTCGGGGCAAGGGAAAAAAGCGCGAAAGGCCATTTCCGACATGCAGGCTGGAACATCGAAGAACCGTGACAATCGAATATATATATTTTCCATTTTATAGTCTATCCTCTATGTTGCACTTATAATGCTCGACCCAATACTTAATGTCCCCAACAAAACGACGAGCAATACCTCTTTTGATGCTATTCTTGATGAAAAATCCTGGATCCTGATCCTTGTGGATCTGCACAAGAGCCAGTTCATCTTCGAGGGCAGTATCGCGAGCGTTCCGAAACTCTTCCTTTAGTTTCTCATCGTTTACTTGGGATTGTTGCCAGTCACTATATTCAGCAATAGCAAGGTCCCGTAGACCAGGGATTTCGAGGAAATCTGGAGGCGTTTTTCCTGGACACGACATAGGCATCGGGGTCGGTGTAGTTAGCACAGAAAGAGGAGAAGCCTGCGCAGGAAGAACGTTGGTGATTTTGATAGGGAGATAACCACTGGTGGAGTGAGTGCCTCCCTTTTGCCTCTTAAGTTGCTGCTGCTCCTGTATATATAGCTTTTCACGGATTGATTCAGGGACGTCGTCGTGGGTTTTCAACAGACCACTTTCCTCCGCGTAGCTCACAAGGGCCCTCAGATTCTGTACTGCCAGCTTAATATGCTTCTTGTTTAAAGGATCACGCCAGCAATGCGGTCCCAGCTCACATGCTGCACTGGAGCACCGCATCAGACTGTACACCCGGTCCCAAGGAGGAGGTTGCCCAGTAGCCTGTTCTTCTGCATTCATATTTGCTTGCCGCTCAAGCAACATACAGCCATTCTCGAAATCGCCTTGACCGGTACATACTCACACTCTCTCTTCTGGCCCCACCGCCAAGGCCTTAGTGTAGATCATTTATTGTACTGACCACGCTTAAACAGGGGACGTTGTAAACTATACCTGGTCTGATACGGTATCTAGCAGGGTAATAATACACTAGTCTCATCAGAATCCCGCCGACTTCCATGAACCCAGAGTGGATCTGTAAATCATGTGGAGAGTGTTGCCTCACACGTGGTTCCTGGCGATCTGCCAGGTGATAAAAGCGTTATGGCAAAGTCAGTTATTCTACGGGCTGGATAGAGCCGTATAAGCTCTCCTTTTCTCCCAGACTCTTCTTCGAAATTTCTAAAGAGACAGTAATTTAGAGGAATGAGAGGAAGGAAAAATCATTTGTATCTAGATACAAAACCTGATAAAGGAAACCCGCCCTGATGCATGTCCCAGGACAAGTGTATCACCATTGATCTCGAAACAGCTGGGCCGTGACTTGATAGGAAGCCAAAGGGCCTATTCACCGTTCAATTCGATCCATTGCCCGTGCACAATAGATATTACTAGAGGTGGATCAGGTGCAGGAATGTCATATCTAGGTTGAATTTCAAGTAGGCCGAAAGTTGGTTTGTAAATATGAACCATCGGAGGAGAATTCCACTGTAGTGACCATTATTCCAACACTTGAAGTTTGCCTAAGAACACCTGTCTCCGTGTCCCAGAGCCGCACTGTCATATCTTCAGAGCTGGACGCCAGCAACCGGCTGTCGGGCGAGAAGGTCACCGACTGAACTGAACCCGAATGACCCTCGAGTGTCTGGGTGAGCGCGCCCGTTTCTGGGTCCCAGAGCTGCACTTTCCTATCTTCAGAGCCGGATGCGAGCAACCGGCCGTCAGGTGAGAACGATATCGACCAAACTAAACTTGAATGGCCTTTGAGGCTCTGGATGAGTGCACCTGTTGCCGGATCCCAAAGTCCCACTGTCTTATCATAGGAGCCGGAGGCCAGTAGTCGGCTGTCAGGTGAGAAGGTCACTGACAGAACCGGTTCCGAATGGCCTTCGAGAGTTTGGCTAAGTGCGCCTGTTGCTGGATTTCAAAGCCGTATTGTGCTATCAAAGGACCCGGATGCGAGTAACCGGCCGTCAGGTGAGAAGGCTAACGACCAGACCCAGGTTAAATGGCCTACGAGTGTCTGGGTGAGCATACCTGTCGCCGGATCCCAGAGCCTTACTGTATCATCGTAGGAGCCAGATGCGAGTAATCGGCCGTCAGGCGAGAAAGCTAACGATAAGACTGAACCTAATTGGCCTTCGAGACTCTGAGGAAGTGTACCTATTACCGGATCCCAAAGCCGTATTGTCTTATCGTAGGAGCCGGAGGCCAGCAGCTGGCCGTCGGGTGAGAAGGTTACCGACTTAACTGAACTCGAATGGCCGTCGAGCGTCTGGATAAGCGTACTCGTCGCCGAACCCCAACGCTGTATTGTGCTATCTCCAGAGCCAGAGGCCAGCAGCTGGCCGTCGGGCGAGAAGGTTACCGACAGAACCGGTTCTAAATGGCCTTCGAGGCTCTGGATAAGCGCACCTATTGCCGGATCCCAAAGCCGTACTGTCTTATCGTAGGAGCAAGAGGCCAGTAGCCGGCTGTTAGGCGAGAAGGCCACCTCCAGAACCGATTCTGAGTGACCTTTGAGTGTCTGGGTGAGTGTGCCAGTCACCGGACCCCAAAGCCGTATTGTCTTATCTACAGAGCCAGATGCGAGTAGCCGGCCGTCGGGCGAGAAGGCCACTGACTCAACAAGACCCGAATGGCCCTCGAGCCTCTGTATTTCTGCACCCCATCTTTCCTCAACGTGCGGTAACTGGTATATCCAAGTTGGAATCTCTTGTTTGAACTGTGCACGAATCATTGCTGTCTGGGGTGCAAATATAAGTCCTGCGCAGTAAACTGGAAGGGGAGCTTTATCAATAATTCGGTAGTTCCTAAGAATAAATCGCTTTGCATCGTGAAGAAAATCTGAAATTGAGGAAGATTTATTACCCTAGAGCCCTTAGCACGAATCAGATATGACCTACCTGTGTGACTTACCAATATGGCTGTTTGGAGCCGATCAAGAATATCTAGTATTTCTGAGGTAAGATTGAGTAGGCTCATTGCTTCTACCCAGTATAGAAAACAGTTCCGTAGAAAATGTCGTTGGAGAAACAAAAGAGCACCATACATCATATTATCTGAGCCAGTACATTTTACCAGATGGTATGCCCAATATCGAGAGGCGTACTGTAGCTCTGGAGGAAGGTTGCTATCGATAGTCTGGCGATCAATCTCTGTGCGTTCGGTTCCATTACTTGGTAAACCACAGATATTTCTCTGCAGATTTCGACAGATCAGGAGGCATTGTTTAGCCAACTTATAGTGCATCTCTGTCTCGTTTATCCCAAAGGGGGTTTTTTGCGCGTTTCTGGATCAAGAAGAAAGTCCCGAAATGAGAGATGAAAGAGCCGTACAGGTGCTATTTCGTTATTTGGCACACGTAGTACTGAGTGTAGTGGGTTTAGTCGAAGGTGTATAAGTCTCTCAGGAAGGTCCAGAATTTTTGAAAGTGAGGTAATTGAGAGTGGACTCTCTAGAGTCACGATAGCGCCGATCACTTGCTGGAACTCCAAGACTAGTTTTTCTTTTTGTTTCCCATATTGTCTGTTGAGAAGACGAGCAAGGATAGGAAGATATGTCCCATCGAGCTTAGATTGATCGTTTTGATGTGTAAAAATTTCAGTAATGCTGTCCGTAGGATGCCAGTCAGGTTCCTCAAATATTCGACAGATGGTGGAAGCGAAAATAAATAACGGAACGGATAATGTCACTAGCCGTCGAATATCTCGGTCACCGGGCCAGTCTGTAGGTAGGGAGCGTTCCATTCTAATTTCTGTGAGCCGATGATCGAAGAACAACGATATATCATGCCTGATCGTCTCTATAGGTATGTCATGGAGAAAAAGGTCTTTATGGTCATCGTTTGCAATCTTTGAAAATGCCAGTCGGATTGGTAGATCAGGTCTGCTAGTCAAAAGCACTTTTAGACGTATAGCAGTTATATTTTGTAGCTGTGGGAGAAGTTGAAGTATAAGCCGAATATCCCTATCTCCGTCACATTCGTCCAGTGCGTCAAGCACTATCACAATGGTTTGGATAGAGGTATCAGATGGCTCAAGGCTTTGTAGTGGCTGAAGGATAAGTTTTTCGAATTGCTCTCGTATTCGTTTTTCTGCGATATACGGGTCACCCTGGATAGTTTCCTGGAGGAAGGGCTTCAAATGGCGGATGCTAATCGCTAGTTGCCTTGCGATTGTTGGAAAAAGATTTCTGGCATTTCCTCGGTCTCCTTCGCCTCTCTCAAAAAAAAGCTTGCTCCTAGTGACTTGAACTTGCTGAAAGATTCCGCCATGGTTCGAGCGATAGTCGATTTTCCTGTCCCAGCTAGTCCATTCAACCAGAATATGCATTTCTCATGTGTTGGAGAAGCCATTTCTCTAATTTGATCGATGATATCGGTTCGTGTGCCTGGGAGACATTTATCTTTATGTTGTTGTGTATATGACTCGAATGAAGCCCCTGGAACGGTAGGTAATGATTGTTTAAGATCCGCATAAAGGTCAGCACGATGGACACTTAAGAGATACGGGTTCTATTTACCCAGTGGAAGATGAAACTCGTTCTTGACAGAGCCATGGTTAATGCCTATCTCTGATCCATAATTGGGACCGCCAAATGAGATCTTCGAGTCCATGAATCACGAAGGTAAGGACCTGGTGGCTCTCAGGAGGAAGACGCGGGGTTATCTGTCTATTAGTGACAGGATGTTAGCGTGACTGCATGTCAGCCTAGCCCGGTGTCATGTGACCTCAACTGCTTATGAACCACACTTCCTTTCTATTTCGCTAGCTGAGAACTGACTTGCAGTATACACCAATTTGAGGAAAGGCAGTTAATATCCCGAATCTCGCCCTGTGGGCTCGTTATATGTCCCAGGGATTTTATGGAACTCCGTCCACAGTCACGTGGCATCTCGCATCGCCATCAGAAGTATCGGCCCGAGCCGGCCCAAACTATGCATTCTTGCGCGCCAGTCACTGCCATCTAAATCTTGTCATTTAGCTCGGGCTATTGTCGGTCCATTAGGTGGCTACCGATCTCGCGACGAGAGTCTACGTCTTACCAACAGAAGACGCTCCAGGTTACACCAAGCAAGATGGCACCGAACTTGAAGCCGCGACGGCTTGAGCTCATCCATCATATGATCCAGAGTAACTCGCTAACATCGTCTCAGATGCCCCACATCGCACACTGTAGCAAATAATCCATTATACGCATTCGCTCTAATCTGCAAGAGTTCGGACACTTTGAGCCCCTCGAAATGTCGTCGGTCGCCCGCGGAGTATTACTCCACGTATGCATCATCTAGACGTGACTGCTGCCAGGAACTGTATTCCCTCCCGGCAACATCGAGAAGGCCTGAAATTTGAAAGTCAGGAAGGTCGATTGAAGTGTTGAGGTTACCCGGGCCAGAGAGATACCCCGCAAGTAATGACTAGCGCACACCGCACAAAGGAGGAGGAGCAGAAGAAAAAGGCCCCCGCATGATTTGCGGCGATCCACCATAGAATTCTATGGAACCCAATGGGCTATTTTTCTGTAATTCAAATGGATAATGTACGGATGAGTCTTTCAACAGTTCTGCAGTTAGTAAGTTGAGGGCCGCGCGATGGGTCTTTAGAAGCCAGATATTCTACACTACGCGTTGCCACGTGATAAGTACTGCAAATTGGAAAATATAGTGCATTGCGCATGTAGATACGCCAGACGCAGTCATCGAGTAATTCAATATCGTAAATCTAGTATTTAATACCACACGATACCAAAAGCTGTCATTTCAGTACGAGTTCGCGCGTAATAGAGTTTCACGCTAGACCCTTGGCAGTGGGGCCCGAGAAAAGAAAAGCAGCCGTCAGGATAGAAGCCGTTTTCGCTATCGACTGTATCTCATTCACTCCCTGATATTCACAGCCAAATTGCCTAAGCAAGTCTATCTGTTGTTGGTGGAAATTTTCTATTCTATGCCATCAATTTACCATGAATGAATTTGGTTCATCGACTAAGATTTTCTCGAATGACAAAACCGTTCTGTAACCTTACGAACTCCCATGTACAATTTATTGTCTATTCACCAGCATTTCCTTAATCTTCTTGATCTCGGTTTTGACGATTTTGAATTCTCTTTCGAGCCTCTTCACATCCCTCGCAAGATTTTTCCGAGCAAGCATTTTGGATTTGTCCTTAGACATTTTGATCAGAAATTAGTCTCCATCTTGCGGCGCCTTGACGGTGGAAGTTGCTAGGAACCAAGAAACTTCACAGAACATCCGATTAAGTAGAAGAACTGACCTTTCTTTCTTACTCCCACTGGATGTGTTGGTTAGAAAGATGCAAGACAAGATAGACAATTCTTTGCAAATGTTTGCTTACCGACTGTTGGAAGATTGCTGCTCATCAGACTGAGATGATACAGAGCCGCCAACGGGTTCACTTTCTGGGATTCCTTCGAATCGGACCTTTCGGGGGCGTTTCACTTCAAGCTGATGACTCTTGCTACTCTTCGGGCTGCTGTTTCTAGTACGGAAGGAGGCATGAGATCTTCGACTAGATGCATTTTTTGCTGGACGAAGATTTCCGTTTTTCTCCTCGATCCGCACTCTGCATGTTTTCTACCCGGGCAATATATGCGTGAACTCTGTCAGTCAAAGGATCTGGCACGTGATTGCTTTTATCACTCATGATGTAGATTTGGATAGATAGTGGGAGGTTTATCCGAGAGGAAAAAAAAAACTTTGGGTAGCAACTCCAGGACCGCGAGAGATGTAGAGATGGAAAATGAACATGTCTCACGTATGCCATTTAAGGGGAGCTGCAAACTTTCGTATGTCAGCATCCTTGGCTGTGAAAGTTTCTTGGCCGGAAGGCCGATGAAAGAAAACCCTCATGAGCCATGGTTTCCGTATGGCTGCGGAAGGATTGCTTGCGCTGGTATGTTCTATCCGATAGGGGTCGCATCCACTATTCAATGGCACATGTAACATCACAGGTCTGGGAAAGGATCAGCACTTAAGGTTGTCAATATATGCTTAGCAAAAAAGTCTCTCCGCTGGAGAGTCCGGGGATCGAGGCCAATGATCGACAGGGGTGGTCAATATCCCTGTTCAGACTCTTACAGGGTGTTTAAATGTTAGAATCTGGAAGTGTTTTGATTGGACTGGGGAATACAATGCCCTTGGAACCACCTTCAAAGAAGAGAATTATGGCTAGGGAATCCTGTGTTCAAATGACGTTTCAAATTACAGTATCTGAGAAAATTCTTCAATCTTTGAAGGAGAACCTAGTTCCAGATTCTGCCGAAGTGGCTACTGTTCAAAACCATTCCTCTCATTCCTCCGATTTAAATGAAGCTTATGTTCGGAATCGTGTTTCTGTTCGCGGATATCCAGCTCAATAGCAACACGCGATCGAGAGACTAACAATTGCTTCCTGGAAGGCCCTAGGTGAATAAAAAATGACTGTTAAGTTCCATATAGCAATTGAGTTATTAGATCACCTATTCCGGGTCGCAATCTGCCAGGTAAAAATGGGAAAAGAACACCAAGCTCACATGTGGTAATTTATATTTGAAAGACAATGTTTATTAGGCATTGTACCCATGCAAAAGTCCAAGATTCCCAATACTAAATAGATCTTGAAACCGCACAATCGCAGGCACAGTTTTGGGTTGACAGAACGAAGCTGCTCTAATGCGCATCTTTATTAAGTATCCTGTCGCTTCCTATTCCTCCACCCCCCAAATTGTTACTCCCTATGAGGAGATAGCCCATTGGTTCCGCAGACACGGTGTACATAGTCCCAAAGCCAGGACGTGGACTGAAACTCTTGCGGTTGAGGATCATGTGGAGCCGGTGTGGTATAAACTAAATGACAGAACAAATTAGCATGAGTAACCGACGAAGAAATGCCTGCGTACCGGAATGCGACTTTTCTGTGGCGGAAGTGTTCTCTGAAGTAGTGGATTCTGCTGAAGGTATTCTCTGAAGCCACTGGTCGATATTTCGAGCCTTGGTATTTGTGAACGCTGGGAATCTCTTCCTGGCACCCTAAAGCCGTCGAATACGTTTCTGACGTTTTGGAACTGAGCGCTGCCTAGATACCTTGGCATGATTGAGACGGCGTTTTCGAAGAATGTGATATTTCTTCCCCTGCAGTGATTCGACTGTTCGGCTAGTACCATACTGCTGATTATAAGCGGTAGCATGAGCGTCCCAAGACAGAGCTCGGTTTGTATGCAGCCAAGGGAGAAGATTATCCTCCTCCTATTCTGACCAGCCTAGCGAGCTGTGCTGAGACATCTTAGGAAAAAAAAGGAGCGGTGGTGAATGAAAATATGACTTGTGAGACTTCTGCAGGAATTTGCAATGTACATAAAGTGGGTGTGGTGAGCTTTAAACTTTTGATATCCGAAATGATTGTCGCGAAATGACAGTTTCTAGAGGTAATCCTACCCAAAACACTTAACTGATTCCTAAGAATCACTGGTTATGCCTGGAACTTGCTGGTGAAGTGATAAACCAATGTAACCATTGAGAAACATGGTCAGACTGAGCTGATCTGTGGTTCTGTTCTGCTACCGTGAATCCTCATTTATTTATGGCATTTCTGATGTTATCCAACGATGCTCAACTAAAACGCATGATTTGTTTCCTGAAAAGTTCACCGAAAGCGCGAATGTAACATGTTGAGAGCTTGAAAGAACGTCTTTGAATGACACAAAGATATTCTTCACTCGTAAAGCCATATGGCGTCACGACTAAACATTGGGATTCAGCTATCATGCCATGGTGATCAGCTCCTTCCTTGATCAACGTCTGCCAATTTCCGTATATTATCTGTTCGTCGATAGGAGTGAATTGTAGATTGGTTAAGTCTATGCGATGCCATTGTTGCAGATGTATTAATTCTAATAGAGAAACTGGAAACTGGCAGCCGGCTAGAAGCTAAAATTGGTGGAGGCTATTTCAATCAGATCTCCGGAGATAGTGGGGCAGGATCTCTCCGCCACCTCAGGTCGTCCGTTCGCTACGGGCTCGGTTGTGTATTTAGCATGCCCTAACTTTTCAATTTTTTCCTCTATTTAAAATTCCGATCTAACGAAAGAGATACGAATAAGCTGAAATTCTCTGCCCTGGTGTTGGCAATTCCAAATATGCCTTCTCGTCGAAGACTGTCACTTATCGATGGACGGCACACCTTCCGAAGCAGACTGAAACGTGTATTATCTCTGTCATCCACCGAATCGAGCAACGAAACCAGGAGCCAGAGGCCTAGAATAATTCAGACCGCTGGGAATAAGTTATCTTCCAAGAACAATGAAGCTCTCGGACGCAGAAAAGTCGGAATTGAAGCCGATAATCAGGAGGGTTGCCATTGGCGACCGTGGGAGATGAAATCTGAGAATGAGATAAGTCGGCCCGAGACTCTATCCGAGGGCGAACCCGAAGAGTCTATACAACATAGTATTATTGCACTGAAATGTGTATCAGAGTGAGTACTGAGACTGAAAATAGTTGATCTTTTACTAATATGTTGATCAAGACTGGATAGCTGAATGAAGTCAGTAGTATATTGTATGATATAGAGGGTGGAAACAATGCTTATTTTTACTCTACAGATCTTTAGAAAATTCTGTTAACCAACAGGTTGCTTGGAATGAGACGATCCGGCATGATCTGGAAGATGCTCTGAGCCGGCTCGCCACCATGGAGACTCGAATGAAAGATGCGATGGACCAGAAAAAGTCTGCAGTGTCGAAAACCAATTAGCCAATAGTGAGTTAATACCTTTTGAGCTACCATCAAGTCCTATGTTTTCAGAATGTGTATAATGGTTAAGGCGCTTTGATTTCGTGACACTTATCTTCAGCGGCCGATCGTGCCATCAAAGAATAAGACGTTATGTTCTGCTGGCTACTAGGGGGAAGACTTCTCCTACTCCTGATGTCTATTACATAGACGAATGTGAAATGGAGCGTGATTGTTCTCCCTATTTCGAAGTTACTGCTTGGCAGAGTCCAGATATATTCGCATTCGATAAAGTATAATTGCTCCGATCTCGGATGTGATATCATTACTTATCCCTCCAATTATTGGACCGTCCCCTGTAGCATCTTGATTGGTTATGGGGCTTTGGTTAAATGAAAATTCTATAGGTCTCACCGTGGAATGTTCTAGAATCGAAAACACACTAGCCCATTTAAATGTATCTTTGACAATGCAACCCGTTCTAGAACAATATTTATTTTCGGGGTAGAATGCGAAATTCGAAGAGAATAAGGTTTTAGTTCCACGATTAGATCGTCCTAATAAACTTGAAGTGGGTACTAAAATTGCGGTCTACTAGCTTTGTGTGGTTCAACTGAATGCTTCATAGTGTCATGCAAAAAGACCTTAAGGCAGGGAAGCTGAGAGATGGACGGAGACGGTTCCCGGGAAACGAAAGGGTACGCCCGAACGGTATGAAGTTTGGAGCCATGGATCTGAGGTAGGACAAAAGTACCACTTAGAGTGCCCTCCAATCGGCGCTATTCGGTAGTGGAAAAAAGACGCAGTTTGACTTTATCAACAGAATGAACGATAACGTTATCGTTCATTCTATGGTAGAGATGGGGCCGCAGCAAATATTGGATAATTTGAAAGGGCATAGAAAGACTTCTTTGTATAGATACGATATCCTACCCCGGGAGATCGTCGGTCGGTCTCAAGCAAATGGCCCATACTCATTGGTCGAGGTTAGAGCTTGTGGGCCAAACAGCGGCGGGTTGCTTGATCCGGAAAACCCGGGAAGTAGCCGTTCTGTCATTGTCTCTCTCGGCGAGAATTCTTTCAACTTGCTCTTTATAATCGTCTAGAACTTTAAAACACTTCCGATGGGAATACTTCCGACGCCGCCTCGCAGAGCGTTTCATAGAATGTCTCTGGACTTATGTTAGTCTAATACCAATCATAGTGCAAAACAGCATATGATAGTAGGGATTGCCATAGTAATAGCAGGAACGGGAACTGTAATGGCAGAGTTCAACTCACGTCGGATATCTTGCTCGTTGCTGGGATTAAAGAACCAGAGTCAGTGTCAGATCCCGAGACTTCTGACTGGATCGAGAGATTCGAGGTGTTTCTGCATCTGCCAGCTTGTGATTTCGGCCTACTGGCATGTTTCTCGGTGCGACTTCGGGGAAGTCTAAGATCGTTTGCCATTGCGAGGATATCTTTTCGTTGGAAACTTATTGAGAGTAGACAGGAGGAGAATCTCAATGATTGTAGACTTTGTGGGATGCTATGTTATAAAGGTCTGGGTGGGGCCTAGGAAAGCCGGCGCGAAATAGCGCGAAACGCAGAATATTGTCCCTTGAGATGATTTTGATGGCACTCGAATCAGTATCATGAGTATACGCACCAGGATCTGCGGGCTGTAAGTGGAGACGTAGGAAAGGGAAATGATTGTCTTAGCTGTGGGGTATTTACATGATCGCCAAACCCGCACATCTTAGATCTGTGATTGACTACCCAGTTCCCACTCAATTATTTGTCTTTATTGTTCTTAATTAAAGAACCAAATTCAGAGGTTGAGAATTTATCTCTAACATCCATTTCGCAATCTTTGCTAATGAAATGTCTGTTTCGAGACGGCCCTTGAACCAGATCACGAAGATTCAAAATAGCGTGACTAAATATCTCAAATTACCAGGGAAGCGTCGCCGACATTTTCGCAGGCTGAGGCAATTTAAATGAGGGCACAGAGAGGGCTAACTTCCTCAGAAACCATACAAGGGTTCTCCGCCCATGGGTATTTACTCCATAGGGGCCCAGAACCTCACAATGGCTTTCGCACTAAGCACAATGGAACGACAGGGGCAGTCACCCATTGAACTTTTAATCACTGCGGTGTGAAATCTGGGATATGATTGTTTGACACAACCAATAAGCCCTTGTTGGTACCCTCAGCTGGATCAAACAGGATCCATCATGGTCTTGGTAGGATTCAATCATCGAGACTGATGCGCAGGGTGACATCCAGATGAATACAACGTTAAATATTGGAAATGTGTGGAAATAGAACCTGAAGTCTAAATAATCAGCCATGACAAATGCTAACATTTAACAGTGGGTAGATCTGTCTGACAAGATTCAAGGACTACTAAGTTCTCGGAAAGTGGATATACGTCGATCGATATTCCAGGGTAGATTATGCTAAAGACATGCTTCGTAAAATTGTGCCATATATTCAGTATTCATCGCTGGTGGCCCTTACTGAGTCTAGTCTACTGTCAGTGTCTTACTAGAACGCTGATTCAGTGACTGGATGGAAATGGACACGCAATTGAGTCACGGCCCTAGACCACTGTCTGGCTCTCTTTACGTAATAAGGTAAGTATAGTATCGTCAGAATCACTGTCCATATTTGCAAAAATAACTCACCACTCGCTGTTTTCAGCGAATAGTTTTGAGGAGCCTGACGAAAGCCAAGATTTGATATCCGGGCTCTGTCTTCGGCTGTAACCATGGTTCCCGGACCCTTGCTCACCCCAAGTTTTATCCTTCAGTACTTCGACCGCGTAGATCTTAGCACACGAGGAGTGTTAAAAGAGTGCAGAGGAAAGAGTTTTTTCTCAGAGTAGTATGAGCGATACTGGGACTTGAGATACCTTGAGATTCAATTCAATCCAATTCAATTCAAGATTCTATTAACCTAATGCAGCCTAGCTAGTGAGCGCCGTGGCTATGTAGGCGTTCCCTCCATCGGGAACCAGAACCGTCCTAACGCCACGCCCGCGGTAACAAAGACAAAGGAGATACGGCGTATTGCCATAGAAAAACAAGTAATAACTCCCACGATGACGGTAACGAAACGCTCATAATGAATGTAATTGGCTACTGCCAGCTCACGCAGCGCCCTGCGGCCACTCCCCGCGGCCATTCCCACACTCTCCCCATCCCGCCACTGCAGGCATAACCTCAGTTACGCCCTGGTTCCTCCTGCAATTGTTCCTTGTGGGGACGTAGCTCCTCCGCCTGTCGACCTCTCGTAGCCGCCAGTTGACAGTATTCTTCCTTATACGTAGCGTCTTCACCTCCTAGTGCCCGCTCCCATCGAGCGTGTCTATGTTGGCATCAACCTCCACATCTTCATCTGCCACATGGCGGAATTGACCTAGAAGCCCTGTTTTGTGCATGAATTCGGCCACGTAGCGAATGGCCTGCGAGTCCGATACAATGGTGTTGTAATCGGTTGTCCGCCCCAGATCGGTTTTGTACCAGATCTTGTTCAACATGGTTTCCCGTAGGCTAGTGTATAACGGGCACTGCAAGAGGATATGTCGCGGGGTCTGACTACCCTCGTCGCAGAGACACCGGCCCTTGTTGAATTGGTCTTCCTCCCCTCCTCGTTGATTGGCGTGTTTGAACAGAAAGTGTCGCAATCCGATCCGCTGCCGCACCCAGCCTCGCGCGGATGAGGCTAATCGGACCTCGGCACCACGATAGTCCGCCCCACCCCCGCTCTCTGCCGCAAACTTAGCTTCAACGTCGGCCGCCTCGTTGCCCGGTACACCCACATGTGCGGGGATCCAGTGGATCTCAATGGCAGTGGGAATCGGGCTGCATGTGGGTGTCAGCGATCGGAGGGTTCGTATGTGGTCATAAATTTGAGCGAGCACATATTGGCCCGACGATCGCTTTGGGTTAGCAATTGCTTGAATGGCGGCTTGACTGTCAGAGAAGATAACCAGCTTTGTGGGCTGGTCTGTCCCTATTCCCGTTATGAACGCGGCGAGAGCCATCTCCACTCCGTTCAATTCCCCCACATACACTGTTGAGTCGTCGGTAGTTCCCAGATACCGATTCAGATAGAGGCTTCCCTTGGCTCCCATTGGGCGGAGCGAGACTGCGGCTGCACCAACGTGACCCTGGTAGCCACTGCCGTCAGTAAAGAAGATCTCTATTGGTGGTTGCTCCGGTATCTGATACGTTCGGAGGTGCGGCTCCACCCGGGACTCTAGTTCCCAATCCAGTAGCTCATTCTGGATACGATCGTGTGTAGCAATGGCTGCTTCCGCATTGTCCCCGATAATACATGTGATCCGGGGCTCCCAGGGCCGTAGGATGCCCGCGTGGCGGGTCTCCCAGACCCCTTCCGGGGGCGTGAGCGTATTCAGGACTTCATTCTTCTTCCATCGGAGGGCTTCAATCGGGCTCCAGCCCCCGAGCCGGCGTTGCTTCGGCTGTCGTTGGTACTGGAGGGTCATTGGTTGGGCCAACGTTGGGCTTGTTTGGATTCGAATGGCGGTTTCTTCAATATTTTGTTGCATCTGTAGATGGATTGGCAGGATGTAGAGTTCTACGTCCAGCAGGGCACCACTAACCCCTTTGAACGCGCCGCTGATGGCGATTGCGGCACGCTTCTGCACGCGTACGAACGCTGCCACCACCCGGTTCCGCTCCCAGGCTTTGAGGCTTCCTGTAGCCGGACCATACCATGCTGCGAGCCCATATAATAGCTGGGGGATGACCACGGCTTGGTACACCTTACGCATGCTGAGCAAGGAGACACCCCACGTGGACCCCGTGATGCCCCGGAGGGCCTCCAAACTACCATTGGCCTTGGCGATAGCGTAGTCCCGGTGCTTTTGAAATGAGAGGGCTTTGTCGTGCCAGATTTCTAGATATGTGGCGTGATGAGATGGTTTAATTTGGCCTCCGTCAGGAACAGCTACCGGCATCTGATCGTTGCCCTGCGGATGGCAGGCATCGAAATCGTAGGGATCAACGTCGGAGGGGATGCTGGTGGCCGTATTGAGGGGATTCGGACCATCTTGGTTGATATCTTGTGCTCGTGGGTTCTTGAAGTGGATGAGCTCGAACTTATTCGGAGCGAATTTGGATGCATGCCGTTTTGCCCAGAGGTCAGCTCGGCCCAGGGTCTTCTGTAGCAGTTGCGTATTGGTATAGTAGGATTCAGAAACCACCACGATTGCCACGTCGTCTACCCATCCAAAGCCTTCGGTTACACCATCCCCAATTTCCTTACAGCAGGTCTTGACCAGGGGGGGGGTTGAATAGCAGGAAGAGGATCGGGGATAGCGGTGATCCTTGCGGGATGCCTGTTGGTGTTGGAAATGCCTCGCTGAGGTACCCTGGGAGCTTGATTCGGGTCCTGCGATTGGTTAAGAAGGCCTCAATCCACGGGGCCAGGAGCCCGAGCCCGAGCCGCCTGATATTGCTCAGCAACCGTTTATGGGAGACGTTGTCGTATGCCCCGGCTACATCTAGTAATACCATAGAGGCTTGGCGGCCTCGGCCCCAGGCCCGGTGAGCCCGGTCCATGATTAGCTGTATAACATGATCAATGGAGATACCCTTCCGGCCGCCGAGGTGCGTCACCGGTAGCAATTGGTGCTGTTCCACCGCGTCAGAGATCCGCGTGGCGATGATCGATTCCAGGAGTTTCGCTATCGTGTTGATCAGGGCAACTGGCCGGTAGGACTTCGGTAGTCGAAAGTCCCGGGGGCCACCCTTCCGTAGCGTTACTGTGACTGAGGCCTGGAAGCACCCAGGGTTGTATCCCGTTCGCATACACGCATCGAATATCCTGGTGACGATTGGGACAAAATTGCCGCAGTTCGCCGCTAGGATCTTCCACACGCGGTTAGGGATGGTATCCTCGCCTGGGGCCTTGTCCAATGGCGCTCTGTGAATAGCATCACGGACTTCCTGTTCTGTTATATTGGGGAATTCGATTGTTGGCTTGTAGTGGACGTGACAGCCCGGGGCGAGGTCCGATAGGTCAGCCTCCGGTGGTAGTGGAAAGAAGGTTTTGCGGAGAAGCTCCACCTTCTCCGCATCACTGGTAGCACTTGTGTTGCTATCGGGACCCTTCAACGGGGGAATCACACCACTGGTGGCTTGCTGCCGGTTGCGAGCCCATTTGGAGAGCTTCCAGAGTCCTCCTTTGGTCTCGCTCGCCTTGCGAACCCACCGCCGGAAGCCCAGGCTGAGTGCCTTCTTGATGGTTCGACCTTGTGGTTCCGAACCGCCGCGTATACCTGGTGTTTCTCCTGTCTCTCCTCCTCGGTTCGTGCTTTGCTGATCTCTCGGAACAGCCTACGGCATGTCGATATCGCCTCAGAGCACTCCTTCGTCCATCCCTCCTTTGCAAATGTGGACGGCCGTGCCCATGGTACTGCGGCCTGGATGCCCTGCTGTACGATTTGTAACAGGCGCTCTGTGTCGTGTTCGATTTGTTGCGTATTGCCTGGGGTAGGGTGCCACGATTGAAGGTTATCGTTCACGAATTGGACCAGTTTTGGCTCGTCCATCGCCTTCCAATTGCGGCGTAGCACCGGGTCCTCGGCCACCTGCGTATCGACATCGACGAGGGAGTGGATTGGGAAGTGGTCTGAGTCCGCATGGACCTTCATCTGGACCTCGCAGCTGATCATCCGGGTCCGCATCGCCGTGGAGACCAGCACGAGGTCGATTGTTGATTCGGATCGAGTATCCCTGCGTGTTATTGTCCCCTCCGGTAACCAGTTGTCGATTGCTAACACTTCCATGATATCCAGTAGTTCCTCCGCCTCCGCGTCCGCCTTCACTCCCTTTCCCCCCCCACCACGGATGGTGGAGGTTGAAGTCACCCAGTATCATAAATTTCGAATCGTCCGGGTCCTCTGGTAGCAGTGCCGGCAGCAACCGGAGTGCTGTGTGGGTGTTCATATCGTTGTAGATGTTTAATATGCGCAGGTTGCCCGTTGACGTCGTGATACTGAGTTCCTGCACGTCTCGGTTGTGCACGGTGTGTATCCATCCGGTGAGCTTCTTGGATACGAACATACAGAACATGGTCCTTTCCTCCCCGTCCCCTATATCCGGGTAAAGCAGCTCGTGGGTGTCCTTTGCTGGGTGGTGGGTTGTGTTGCTGAATGGGTTCTTCCAGGGCTCTTGAATGGCGATGATGTCAGCGTCGATCACGGCCGGATCCCGCATGAACTGCGCCATAACGATGTCCTTCGACCGATTGACGTTGTACTGGAAGATGCTGAGCTGATTGCCGTTTGTATATTACTGTGGTTGCTGCATATTCATTCGCGTTCGGTAGGGGTGGTGGTGGTTGCCTTTCTGGTTGTCTTCCTGTTGATACGCATTCGATATGATCTTTCGCTGGCAGGCTGCTTTCGTTTCTGGCCCCTGGTTGCCATCTCTGGTACTGACGAAGGTTGGAAGTCACTCTCGCTGCGAGCTCGATCCCGGTTAAGCTGTTCCTCCATCACCGACAGATCAACCTCTGGCAGGTCTGCTTCTGTCGCTTCCTCTGCAGCGTCTCCCTCGGCTGCTTCCTCCCCAGCTGCTTCCTCTGATCCTTCTGATTCCTGGTTGGCTTGCTCCAACTGACTAACAAACCTTGCAGATCTCCTATCCGCCTTCTTCTGGGCGGGGTCGCTGTACTGGCTCCGTTCCTTTCGCTTCTTTGCCAATGCCTCTCGAGCCTTGGCGGTCCTCCTCCACCCCACTTCCTCTTTCCGGCTTCCTTTGCTTCCTGTGTCAGCACCGGCCCCAGTCTCGGTTGCGGCTCCAGCGGCTGCGTCAGTGGTGCTGGGCTGAAAGTCGATGTCGCGAGCGGTGGCATTGAATAGTGCCGGGGTACTGGAAACGAACGGTTCCTGGGTGGTGGTTGTAAAGCTGATTGGTTGTATGTTTCCTGATGGGCTGGCTGCCCGGGGTGCTTCTTGCGCTTCGGGCACTCCCTGTTGAGCGTCCTGTTGTGCCTCGGGCACCTCCTGGGGTATTTCCTGGGGTGCTTCCTGTTGCACGCCCTCCATTGTATCCTCAACGGTGGCCCTCTTGGCCTTCTGAGCCTTCTTTGCCTGCGTGAATGGCGCTTTTGCCACTGTCCTCCTCGCTGGCTTTCCCTGGATCCCACTGGAAGTCCGGTTTGCACTGGTGCTTTGCTCCCCGTTACTGGAGCGTGCGGCTGATACGACAGCGCTACCTGTCGTATCGTTGGATCCCTCGGTTGAGGACACCTGCGGCGTCCCCATGGAGCTCAACGACGATGGGGCCAGGGACACCGAGGGGTCGTGATAGCTAAACTCAGCAGGCACTGGATGGAATCTCCCGCGCTGCATCGCCATCGCCATCACCTTTTCCACCATGGCAATCCTCACCTCACAGTCCTCGCTCCACGCTGGATGTGCACCCTCGCAATTGGCGCACTTCCTCTCTTTTCCCTCGTGCATGCGGGTGGTGCAATCTCGAGACTGATGCTCCCCAGCGCAGTACACACATTTCGTTTTATTGGCACAGGAGGTTCCTATGTGTCCATATTGTTGACAGTTAAAACATTGCCGCACACGGAGACTCCTGTCGTAGAGGAGAGCCTGATACCGATTCGAATCCCAGAGCACGCCCTCTTCGATAGCCTTATTCGCTGACTGCGGTTTGCTGAACTCGAGGATAACTGAGGCCAGTTTCGCCCCCTCTTTCGGCGCTCGCAGCCAGTTTATCTTTGTGATCGTGGCATCCTTCCCCCAGTAACGAGAGTTTTCGGCCCACATCGCTATCGCAATAGCTCCCTGCGCCTCCCGCAAGGCCTGAATCGTCGGCTTATCCACCAAGGAGCGCACCTGCACGCCGTGCACAATGGACCCCAGCTCGGCATGTGGACGAAGGCCGTAGAGCCGAAGCCCTTGACCCAGATGTCCCGATGCAGCCGCATCACCTGCGCTTCCCGGGCGTCTCGCACAGTAAGCCGGAGATCACCCGACTTCAGCTGGCAAACCGCCTTCACCATCACCGTGGCCAAGGTGGCGGTCCGGGTATCCTTTGCATACTCCGCACGCACCTTATTAGCGTAATCTTTCATCTCCTCGGACGGCTTACCGCAATATCTGTCTACCTGGTCGCGGTTGTTGAGGCAGACGATCACATCCCGGTCACGTGCCGTGATCGGTGCGGCGGATGTGGCATTCGATGATAGGGGAAGCGACAGCTGATGAGCCGGCGCTGGCGCTTGTGCCGCTGCCCGAGCCCAGGAGGCGGTGCCCATACGCGATGGAGGCTCAGTCGCCGCTTTCACGGCGTCGTGAATCTCCTTGGAGAGGTCTTTGCGGAGGGCCTGGAGCTCCTGCTGCCAGTCGTGTAGGGGGGAGCAACGAGAGGTCATTGGTGAGGACTCGAACGTTTTCGAGGAGTTCCCGCACCCTGTCTGGTTTCACTTGGGCTTTTGGACTGCTATTTAGTTCCATCAATAGCTCCGTGGCGCTGCGATTGACGTTCTGAACGCGTTCACGGTTCGATGGCAGTTTTTTCAACGCGGCGGGCACGCCCCCTGAGAGACGCAATCCCGCCTGATCCACGCGCGGCACCGGCATAATGGGCCTGGAGATATAAATCTAGGCTCAAAATGCAGCGCGTGGAGTTACTTAGAACATGCAAAATACTAGAAGTTGCCAACTGGCGTGGTTCCTGAGATATAACAAAAATTCGATTTGCGTCTTGAGTTGTTGTAGTTCGCGACGTGTTAGTGAGTTTGTGGTCGTCAATAACGCGATATATGGCAAGCAGATGCACGATGCCCAGGCCGTTACGTGTCATTTCGATTATGGTCGCATCACTGAGGCTGCCGCACATGTCGGAAATTTGACCAGGAGGTTCTCTAGGACAATCGCAGATTGCTGAGGAGGTGGAAGACCACCAACGAATCGAAGGTCACTGTTGGTACCCACCCCTAGCCTATCTGGCGTGCCAATGACATCAGCCGTCAGTAACATCACGTGGGTGTCCGGCTGAGAACCGCCCCGCAACCCCTGGTCGTCCCTAGACTATCTCAAGGCCGGGTTAAAGCAAGAACGATTGGTCTAGGAGGGATGAAATTTGGTAGCGAGGAGCGAGAACTCTGGTGTTCCCCAAGATGTTTACTCGACGCTGGTCGCCCCCTATTCATACACTTCTCCAAGCTTTAGATAAACTGCATGTTGGCACCGCTCAATTGAACCGATTCTGCCGAAGCCCTGCACATAATATATGTCTCGAAATTTATATCTAAGAAAATAGCAAATTGCCCCTATATGATTGGTCTAAAAGCCCCTTAGTGTGAAGGGCTATGGTCGGACTAACTCAATTGCACAATTCCTGCATGTTATCTATGAATATTGAATAAAACGGAGAGACTAGCTAAGATGAAGTGAATATCAGGGGGTGCGAGTAGCGGGTGGCAAGGGAAAGCGGGGAAACGGGCGCGGCAGAGCTGCGTATCAAGTACAGGTACAACCCGTGACACTTACACTCCTTAGATCTGCCGATATTAGGTTATTGTAACACCGGAATTTCAAATTTGACCGATTTTGCACTCGAAAGTAACGGCCTTTCAAATCGGGACCAAATCAATGACCAAGAAATATCAACGTATCCTTTTTGAATGACGCCCTATGAGCTGTTCCTCAAGCTACATCAACTAATGCCCCCTCCCCTCCCCTCCCCTCCCCTCTCCATTTTCATTTGTAATCTTTGTCCACTTGAATGGCTGAGCTCTAGATGTGAAGTAAGTCAAAATAATACCCTGTCGCCGGTCGCCAGCATTGGCAAAATCTAGTTTCTTTGTTTGAATCAGGGGAAATGGGCACGATCCACATTGTAGAGTCACGAGCTTCGTGTTTCTTTGTTCAAAGCGGGGCGTCACTTCGTTAGACTCTGCCAAGAGAGCTCCCACCCCACAGTTCTTTGTTCATTCCAAGCGACAAAGTTGGCTATAGAAGAGTGACAAATAACAGTGCTTGTTTGATTGGGGAAGGCTTGTAATCTTCTTTGTCCTGAACTTGCTCCATGGCAATGCTTGGGATGCGCATATGGCTGGGGGGCCGGGCTAAACGTTTGCGCATAAATAGCGTCTTTATCTCCCTCTCATTCAACCCTCTCAACACACAGTTCCCCAGCCTTGATAAATCTTCTTGAATTCCATCGTTACTTTACCGAATTTATTGCTTACTATGTCCCACCAGTTCATCGCCGCGCCGCGCTCGTCCTTTATCGGTCCCCGCGAGCAGGCAAGTTAGTAAGCCACCAGGTCACAGACGACGACATGCATAGTAGACAAAACTAACCAATGAAACGCAGGTCAGGCAATGTTGCATCAGTCCATGGATCTGACAAGAAAGGTCATGGCAAAATTATTGCCTTACTATTTCATGTATCGGCTTGCGAGGAGATATATTGAGGAACAAAGTGAGTCTATTCGGCATTCTAGAGGGGCATGTTTTTTGCTCATCTCATTGCTCTGTAGCAGAATATTCTCCACAGTATACTTTAGCCACCGTTCCATATCCATGGTGGGAGGAACATTAGTGTATTCTTGACTCGGAAAGTTTCATTTTCGACATCGAAAAATCGATCCAGGAGCAGCTCTGTGCAGATGGCTGGTTGGCGGAGCCAGGCCGGGACGACAGTCTAATAAACTTGCCTCTAGGTAAGGTCGACGCTTTGATTCTTGCGCATTGGTATATACCTTCCTTCGAAAATTGGATCCAAAGCGAAGTGGAAGATGCAGATGATATAGAACCCATTGACGGACATGTGGACCCGTAGTTCGTTGCTATGAGCAATGAACCTATATCTTCCTTGGGCTCTGTATTAGTTACTTGAAGAGAGATGGGAAATGTGTCATACATGCATGGCTCTGTGCAAGTTTCCCGGACTTTGCGGTCTTGTTTTAAAAGAAGTCCGAAAAGGGTCTAACTCTGCTCAGATTCTTGCTCGCTCCTCTAGCTCGCTTTCGCCCCAAGGCTCCATTTGTAGAACAAGCAGGTCCTAAAATCATGTAGTGTCAACTGCTCCTAATTATGTCGTCCAATCAGCTTTCGTATGCAAGCGCCCACAATCCACAGTCTCCAACCTGAAGGTATTATTGATCCAAGTCCTTGTTATAGCCTTCCACGGATGATCGTTGACTGCAATGATTCCGCACAGAATCCAGAGGTTACTCTCGCTGTACCATATATCGTCAATCAGGTAAGCACGCGACAAAGAAAAGAGCGACCGCGCTCACGAACGACAACCATCAGGGATCCTAGTGGCCCTCTTCCCGCGTTGTGGAATAATTGTATCGTTTGAAATTGAGGTCTCTGTCTAGGCAATTGGAACCGAATCCATGTGAGTTGGCGAATGGCCTCTCCCTTAACGCAGGCCAAAGAAAACGACATCATTCGACTCGCCAACCACATGATACATGTATGAGAGTCACCCCCTAAAAAGCCACCGGGTCAATATATAGCTGCCAATGGGCATACTTCGACCAAATCCTGTGAGACAGGTCTAGTTTGCTATTGTGAAAAGAATACTCTGAGCTCAATAGCGAAAGGGTCTTCATTTATGATTATTGACACTGCGCTTGGAGATAAATTCGATAGCAGAATTACACTGCAGACAAACCCAGCCCAACACGGACAACTTTGTCTCCAATTTCCAGATTAAAGCCAAGTGATATCTCTAAGCTGTATTGGATACTCCCATGGTATCCCAATATAAGTTCTTGTTGAGAGTATACCAGTAATCAGTGCAGAAGAACACCCAAGTCTCAGGATTCGTGCGAACCAACATAATATTGGTCTTGCGATCATAGTTTTTCAAAGCATTTCGTTGACCGTCCCATTCAGATTTAGGAGGTATTGTGTATGGCTTTCCAACATGCTTAAAAAGAGTCCCAAGACTATCTGTTAAGCGGGTCAGCTATGTCTCGGATTCAAGTTGCATCACAGAGTACTAGTGGACGTACAGGTCGCATCTATAGTGTCGTCGTTGCCAATGACCAGATGGAATAACTCATGGAACAAGGTCGCACTTTTCGAGAGCACGTTGCTAAGCTTTTTGCCTTGAGCATCGACACCGAAATTTGTCTCCACGCCGGTTCTTGTGAAGGCCCTCGGGCATAATGTGACGGTACTTGGGTCCGTGAGACCTTGGGTCACACCCAGTTCGCCCGAAGACCCGCATAAACCTCCTTCTCCGTAGACTTGATCTATGATATACTGATCAAGGTCTGAAGAGTAGTATGGCACCGAACTTTTGTCCGCTTTTAATTGCGATCCGTATTCTTCAGAGTCTTGAATTTCCACCTCTTCACCACACTCTTCAATTTTATCTGTCCTAGATTTCTGTTCCAGCCAGGAGCTGTCACAAAACAACCATGGCGTGCCATCTGTAAGAAGTTTTTTCTTGGCCATGAATGATTGAACGTCCAGGAGAATTGCTATAGTATTTATTGTAAGCCAAAATCCGGAAGATGGTACCTTTCAGGCAAAGTAATGAAACACTTGGCCTGAATATGGCCAAAGGGTAGTAAGAGATAGCCTAATGTCTTACATTTGACTTCCTCCACGTCCCCATTGCTTGTATCATCGTCAATACCCAAGTATTTCTGAAGAGCGCGTTTCGCGTTCTTTGTTTTTGTGTCATCAGCGTTACCCTTCGCGTCATCAAACGCAGAAAGACCGGCGGAGGCCATGGCTTGAGATTCCGTCCACCATCGCCTAAGGACCGATAAGTGAGAGTCACAACCGCCATTCTCGGATCCTTGCTTCACATGAAACACATCACCAATCCCGGTTGAAAAGGCAACAGGGATGTAAAAAAGCAATAAGGCCAAAACCTTCACGGTGATCGATGACATACTTCTCCGATCCCTAGCAGAAATATCTTTTGTCGTGATTTCCGTCTAATCTCGGGGAAGTGAGAGAGAATGACCTTTTCATTAGAAAACATAGTGGCACATTGGGGGATTTATCTATCTTTAGGAAGATGCTGTGAGCTTACTAGCAGGGAGCGGCCCCCAATTTCTTGCCAACCGCATTTATTTGTAGCATTCATTTAATTGGAGAGAGACTACTAGTTCTGCTCGGGGCTATTTGTTTCAGGGGTAGATTCTTGAGCCAGGTTGAATGCGGACGAATTCAAGTTGGAGAAACCATGAAAAACCAGGCGTTCCGAGTTAGATTGTGACCGACGATCATCTGTACTACAAAACATTGCTACTGCTCAGGTGGTGCATTGGCTGAATATTCCAAGTCGTGTTCGAAGGACTTCAAATTAGGGAGAAATCCACATATCTCCGGAAAGAATTTCAGGAATAGCTCAAGTTCCAGATGAACATCAACCAGAACTTGAATCTAATGGAGTCATTGAGACTAACAGCCGTTTTTTTTTGTCTCATCTGCGTAAATCAGAACGCTGGTGAAAGTGCTGTGTACTAGAGTTTGTACTTTGTAAGAATGAGAAAGCTGAACGCCATGGGTGAATTGGCCCCCAGCCCCCAGCCCCACGGCCCCTGGCCCCTCTAACCTGGCCCCTCCAACTTGGCCCGATGGCCTGACGTCGCTTTCCGTTTTCACCTGCGCTCTCTCTTGTTTATTTGCACGCTGGACTTTTTACTTGCACGAACCATCTTCACATACTACGTTTAATATCCCGAAGTTATCGTTTTCTTTATCTCCTCAGTCTGAATCAGCAGCTATGTCAGATCCGCAGCTGCTGGTATTTACCAAATTTTACGTGCCTGAGACCGCAAGTCTGGAGGACGAATACTGGGGAGATTTCGCACGAAACCTGACAGAATGTCCTGGGCATTATCTTTCTAAATGGGGCCGAATCGAGGAACATTTAAATGATGTTCTTCTGATCACATGTAATATACCTTCCCTTAACGAGCAACAAAGATACTAAATTCTCTAGTGTGGTCATCCCAAGAGGAATTAAATCAATTCAGAGCCTCATCATCACACGAGACCTACTCGTCAGCATTATTTCGATACTCATCGGTTCCGCCAGAGGTCTATGAGTTTGATTATCCCTTTATAAGCCAGTGGTTGAGAAGCCCAAGCTATCGTATCTCTTTTATATGTGCGCACTTCTCAGCTATAATGGGCCTGGAGGAAAGGCATGGGAGGCCTAGAGTCAAGGCCCTCGAATCTAAAGGCGCTCTTGGGCCCATCGCACGCAGACATGTGAGGGTTGCACATAGAGGCACCCCTCTAGGACTCTGGGATAAAAGGAAAGCAGACGATGGGGAAAAACCGAAGACGTGTGTGATATTCTACTTCTGGACGAATGCTGAGATGGAGCAAGATTTTAAACAGACGGAGCGGCGTAATGGACAAACAAATTATCAATTGGCCGAGCAAGAGTTGAGGGATGCTGGGGCTGAGAGCTGGGCAGAAGAGCACTGGGTTCCAGGAAGGCTTCCGAATATGTGAAGTGAAGGGATAAATCAGTGCTCGCAACTCTAGTGCCCTTTGCAAATGCAGGAATAAATTGAAGAAAGATCGACGCTCAGTAAGAAATTACTGCGAAAGGGGATGCGAATTCTTCTGTTTGAAGACTTATCACATAGCTATGGACTACAATATGAGATATTTTTCTGATTTGAGATAACCCCCAAAGACTACTAATATGAACCTTCAAATTATTCCTAGCGTCTTTATAATGTCAAATATGAATATCAATGGTAGTAGAACGTAGCTACATGACTAGGCAAAGGGACCCGGTCCGGTAAAGTTGTCGCATGACAGGGAGGCTGACTAAGTGAGGTGCTTTTGCTTTTGATGAATACCCTGAAACGACGACGAACGAAGTGGAGGGGTTTTCTTTACTCGTTTGAGTGCTTCCGGTGTTCTCTGTGGAAAGTAGGATTCAATTGGATTGGCTCAATAAAAACTACTCCTTCACCTAGACCATAGTTCAATTCAATTCAATTCAATTCAAGATTCTATTAACCTAATGCAGCCTAGCTAGTGAGCGCCGTGGCTATGTAGGCGTTCCCTCCATCGGGAACCAGAACCATCCTAACGCCACGCCCGCGGTAACAAAGACAAAGGAGATACGGCGTATTGCCATAGGAAAACAAGTAATAACTCCCCCCGATGACAGTAACGAAACGCTCACAATGAATGTAATCGGCTACTGCCAGCTCACGCAGCGCCCTGTGGCCACTCCCCGTGGCCCATCCCACTCTCCCCATCCCGCCACTGCAGGCATAACCTCAGTTACGCCCTGGTTCCTCCTGCAATTGTTCCTTGTGGGGAGTAGCTCCTCCGCCTGCACGACCTCTCGTAGTCGCCAGTTGATAGTATACTTCCTTATACGTATCGTCTTCACCTCCTAGTGCCCGCTCCCATCGAGCGTGTTTATGTTGGCATCAACCTCCACATCTTCATCTGCCACATGGCAGAATTGACCCAGAAGCCCTATTTTGTGCATGAATTCGGCCACGTAGCGAATGGCCTGCGAGTCCGATACAATCGTGTTGTAGTCGGTTGTGCGCCCTAGGTCGGTCTTGTACCAGATCTTATTCAACATGGTTGCCCTCAGGCTGGTGTATAACGGGCACTGGAGGAGGACATGCCTGGGCGTCTGGCTGCCCTCGTCACAGTGACACCGGCCTGCGTTGAATTGATCGTCCTGTCCCCGCTGATTGGTGTGTTTGAATAGGAAATGCCTCAATCCGATGCGCTGTGAGCGCATCTGCACCAGGATTGAAGAGTAGGCCTTCGGCAGACCTTCGTACAGTTGGAGGACCTTCTTCGAAGGCACCTCTACCAACTGGTGATACCGCTTGGCCGTTTTCTCATTCGCCCACGCCTTCATCCATCGTCCCTTGATCCGCTGCCGCACCCAGCGCCGCGTGGATGAGGCCAATCGGACTTCGGCACCACGATAGTCCGCCCCACCCCGCGCTCCGCCGCAAACTTAGCCTCAACGTCGGCTGCTTCGTTGCCCGGTACACCCACATGTGCGGGGATCCAATGGATCTCAATGGCAGTGAGAATCGGGCTGCATGTGGGTGTGAGCGATCGGAGGGTTCGTACGTGCTTATATATTTGTCCGATCACGCATTGGCCCGACGATCGCTTTGGATTGGCAATTGCTTGGTGTATAACGGGCATTGGAGGAGGATATGCTGGGGGGTTTGGCTCCCCTCCCCACAATGACACCGACCGGCGTTGAACTGATCTTCCTGCCCACGTTGATTGATATGCTTGAATAGGAAGTGGTTCAAGCCAATCCGTTTGGTCCGCATCTGAATGATGATTGAAGTATACGGTTTGGGTAGCCCTTCGTATAGCTTCAGGACCTTCTTGTGCGGCATTTCCACCAGTTGGTGATAGCGGACTGCAACTTTGCTCGCTGCCCATTCCTTCATCCATCTCCTCTTCATTCGCTGCCGCACCCAGCGTCGCGCTAATGAGGCTAATTGTAATGGTTACTAAGTTGTCAGGCTAGAGACCTGTGACTAGGCAAGGATATCGGACGGTGGAGATCAGATTGGGCAGTCGATACAGAGACTGATTCTTGAGAAGATCAAGAATCCTGAATGCTTGTGGGATCTTAAATACATTAGGGTTCGGGTGGATATCGATATGCAGGTGACTCAAAGGGGATTCGTCCACGAATCGGCCTCGAGAGTCCGGGGTATCGTATACTTCGAATCCCGTGACACTAATCGGATCTCGACACCACGATAATCCGCCCCACCAGGATTCTCCGCCGCAAACTTAGCCTCAACGTCTGCGGTTTCATTACCAGGCACACCCACGTGTGCGGGGATCCATCGGACCTCAGCGGGAATCAAGCTGGACGTGGGTGTGAGCGATCGGAGGGCCCGGACGTGTTGGTATATCAGGTCAATCACGTATTGCCGGAGGATCGCTTTGGATTAGCAATTGCCTGAATGGCTGCCTGGCTGTCGGAGAAGAT